ACACCTCTAAAGTACCCCCACAAGGCTGCCATTTAGAGCAATTGAGTACCTAGGAGTGGTCACACAAGTTTCAGTCCACCCACAAAATCTAACAGGAAGCCCCAAAGCTCTAAGAACATTCAGCAAAAACTCCCAACTAATTGAACCAAATGCTTTCTGCAAATCAATTTTTATTGCACATCTAGGAGAAAGGTTTCTCCTAGAATAGACCTTAACAATTTCCTGGGCTAATAAAGTGTTGTCAGTGATGCTTCTGCCCTTGACAAAAACAGACTGGCTGGCATTAATCATTTCAGGAAAGAACTGAGCTAGCCTAGTGACCAAAATCCTAGTAATAGTTTTGTAAACCACAAAACAACAAGAAATAGGCCTGAATTCTTTAGCCTTACAAGCATTCAAGGACTTTGGCACTAAAACTATTATAGTGGCATTAAAGGATGGCAAGATATTAGAGGTCTGGAAAAAATACCTCAAATCATTAAGGAAGTCAGTGTGAACAATCCCCCAAACCACCTTGAAGAACCAAGAAATGTACCCATCAGACCCTGGACTTTTGTCTTTACCTTGTCTAAACAAGGCCTCTTTAATTTATTTATCTGAAATCTCCCCCTCCAGAACCCTCTCAGCACCAGAAGGAAAAATATAGTTCAGAAGGTCCTTTAAACACTTAGGAGAGCACCCTTTGACCATGGTATCAGCAGCACCAATTAATTTGATGTAGAAGTCCACCAATTCAGCAGCCATACCATCAAATGTCTCAAGGTATTGCCTATTTTCACTCTTAATAACTCTAATAATATTTTTCTTTTTTTGGGATTGAAAGAATTTAGTGCTCAAATCCCCCTCCTGCAGCCAATGGATCTTTGCTCTCTGTCTGTAGAACTCAAGTTCAGACACTTCAAGATCCACTAGATCAGAATTGACTTTCTTTTCCTCCTCCACCCCAAATTGGAGAGCACCAGATAAAATTGAGAGTTGGACAGACTCCAGTTCAGCCCTCTTAGCAACTACCCTGGCTTATATATCAGAAAAATAGTTCCTATTTAACTCCTTCAAAACTGGCTTCAGTCTTTTCATTTTGTTAAATATGACATGCATTACATTGCATTGCCATCACTATGTACAAGCCAAAACTCCCTTACACTATTCAGGAAATTATCATTTGCAGTCCAGCAGTTAAAAAACTTAAAAGGTTTTGGCCTATGGACTTGTGCCTCTTTCTGAGTCCAAAGTAACCCAGGGCAATGATTTGAAGCTTCAGGGGCCTTGAATTCAACATAGAAGTTTGGAAAATCCAGCAGCCACTGGGAATTAATGAGGATCATATCCAACTTCTTGACCAAATAGGATTAATCTTGTTTGTTAGACCATGTAAATAGAGGCCCAACAAATGGGTGATCCTGCACCTCCAAGTCCTCCATGCAGTCTTTAAACTCATCCATATCATCTGAAGTGTGTGAACCCAAAGAAGCATAGTCTGAACTTTCTTGGGCATCAATAATAACATTGAAATAATCTCCCAACACCCATGAACTATAGCCTATCTATCTCTCCAGACTCCTTAGATAATCCCAAAGTCCCCTTCTAGATTGACTGTTATTGCTTCCATAGACTGCAGTAATTACAACTCTATGGCCAGAGATATCACCCTTTATGGAGAGAGCTTGGTCACATCCTCCAATCACAAAAAAGTATAGTCTCTTATTCCACAAAATCCAGAGTTTACCACCATCAATAAACTGATAGTTTGTCTCAAAGTTCCACTCATCAGAAAAATAGCAGCCACCTTGGGAACATTACTACTCCTAACTCTAGTCTCCATGAAGCACACAATATCCACCCCTAAATTCTCCAGTCTTTTAAGAATCTTACCTAGCTTGAGCACATTGTTAATGCCTCTCACATTCCAAAAACAGATAATCATCTAAGCAAGGATGGGAGGACCACCATTACCAACCCCAGTACCTATCACACTTCCCTTAGCCTTCTCAACCATATTTTTTTCTTAGTTCTAATCTCATTAAGCATCACTGAAACTCCCATAGTATCTTCTCGAGGCTTCCTAGTGTCACAGCCTCTTCCACCTACCATTAAGTCCATTTTGCTAGAAGACCCTACATTCTCATTTTTTATCCCTTTAACTTTCTTCTTCTATAATAAGGATTCCTGCACACCACCAGCAAGAGGATCATCATGGCTACCTCTACCTTGTTCCCTCCCAACTGGTCTGCTGCTCCATCAGTAACATTCTGAATAACCTGATCCAGCACATCAATCAAAGGAGCATCACTACTATGGGGATCATGATGTCCACCTCTAGATGCAACCTTCCTAACCATCTGCTCTTCCATATCAACAGTAACAGTCAGTTTGGCCACTCCATCAGCCTGTACCAACTCAACATGATTAACACCAATCAAGGGAGCAACAACAATATGCTCTTGAAGGGCCTTCACAGTTAACTCTACAGCATCACCACCCTGTAGGTTAGTAGTTCTTGAGCACTCAATACTAACATCAGGATTGAAACCAGTAGGGCAAGGAGAATAGCTGGCAGTGACTACTCTTTCCTTTATATTAACCTCAGTAGGATTAGCTTTATTTCTCCAAATTTGAATTTCTTTGTTCTTAGATGATGCCTCTGCACAGACATTAGATTGATGACCAAAAGATTTACAATATGAGCATAACTTAGGCAACTAAGGTACATGAACCTTAATCCTCACTACAGATCCATCACTCAACACAACCTGAACTATCTCAGGAATCACTACACCAACCCTAATCTCAACACAAACCTTAGCGCACTCAAGTCTCTCTTTAGATGTCGTGATGGAATCCATGTATAATGGATGCCCTACAACACTCGCGATGTAGTTGATACCCAATCTAGTATAAAGCTCCAGGGGCACATTATACAATTGGATCCAGATCGGAATGCACTTAAAGTAAAAATCGAGCCTCTGTAAATTAGGCTCCCACTTCTTTAGGATGAGCGGCTTGTTTTGCACATGCCACGACCCGTTTTCAAGGATCCAATCTCTCATGTCCTTGTTTGAGAAAGAAAAAATGTAGAGATTCGAGCTTGCTAAACTAACCTTCACTGTCGAGTTTTCCCCCCACAAGATCTCAGCAACCCTCTGCATGGAGCAAAAATTCAGAGCAGCTCCAATGAATTATCCCACAATCGAGTGACCCCATTCAACAATTCCCTCGTCAAACACAGCAGCAGGAGGTTTAACGGTGGAAATCCCCTCTGATACCTCAGGCGGAAAGAAATCCAGGATTTGCTCTTCAATTCCCCCAAATAGTTTCCTTCAATCCAAGCTCGAAGCCATTGAATACAAGGACTCCACCAGAATCCATCGCACAACACTTAGAATCACCGAAGAAAGAAGAGAAATCAACAACGAAGGAACAGTCATGAGGTCTCATTAGTCCAGCTAACGTGTGCCCAGAGAGAGTTCATTTCAGTTTTGACTTTTTCAATTACTATAACTTTATTTTATATTGTTAATAAAATGATAACTTCTCTGATTTTTTGTTTTACGCCATTGATGAGTTTTTTTCCTACTAAGTGAAATTTGGGATAAAAACAAAGGGTCTGGTTCTAAAAAAATATCACTTAAGCCCCTAAATTTAACTAAAAAGTAATTAAGTCAATTTATTACATAATCATCATTTTTCGTATATTATCATGTTAACAGAATATCATAGAAAAATTTTATAACTCACCTATTAAATTTATGTATTTTGGACGATGAATATAACTGCTAACTGAATATCATATTAAAAAAAGCAATTAAGTCCATCGATGTGTTCAAGGAATTTTTGTACACTCAATGTTGTCCTTAAATTGATTTTTTTAATAATTGATTTTTATATTTTATATATAATATATTAAATATCGTAATAATTATTTATATTTTATGTTTTGAATATGAATAATTTTTTATTTAAAAAAAATTAAACATGTCTTCAAACTTCCTAAAAATATCAATTAAGCCCTTGAACTTAGTTAAAAAATAATAATTAAATTCATCTACTACATCATCGTCCATCTTATACTATCATAATAGCATCGTGAACTATCACATCAACATTATAGATTGTCGTGTAAGATTTGTGAATTGTTACGTAAGCGTCGTGACGATCAACATTTAATTATGTTGGTCAAAAGGTTAGATTTATTTTTTTCTCAATTAAATTGTTGTATTTTATTTATGACTCACATGTTAAATTTATGTAAAACTAAGGGTTGGATTTCTTATCGTATTATGAAATTTCTTATTAATTTTATTATTTTATATTTTTATAACTCACATGTTAAATTTATGTAATGAATTTTTCAATAATTATATTTTAATTTAATTATTAAATAATTATTTGTTCATCTATATTTTAAAAAATTAGATACAAAATATAATATTTTTATTTTTGAATTCAGGTTTTCATTTATATTAATCAAATACAGTTTCTACTTTTCAAAAAAATAAAAATTATTTTCTAGAACCAAACATACCCTGAAATCTCCAAAACCTCCACTTCATGGGATTTAGCACTTGAATCGGTTTGGGTCGAAATGAAATGGATAACATAATGGGGCTGCGCTTGGATGTATGGCCCGATATACGTTTTCGTTCATGTTTCCGTGTGCCTACATTTTTATCACCGAGGCTTTGATAAAAATTAGAATGAAAGGGCGCACTTATAAAAAAAATTTGGCCTAAATGCTATTGCTACAATGCAGAAAAACTAAAGTCAATCCAGACATTGTAAGAACGTACTATTATTTTGAAATTGATAAAAAAAATATGGCAGTTATAATATGAAAACATCTACTCATCTAGAAAGCTCATTTTACAAACCAGAAATGTGAAATGCATTGTGAGAGATCAAGTTTTGCAGATATGTATATGACACTAGTGCTAGCTTGAAAATTACAAACTCCCAAAGATTTTAAAGGAAAGACATGCAATAAGGAGAACCGGCTGGGAATCCTTGGATGAATTATTTGACAGAGATAAGAATACATACGAGGACCAGTTACAATTGTCTTGAAGTGCTTGAAAAATGCAACATGCAAGGACATAGAAGCAAATTAGTCGACCTGACTATTTGCAGAATAAATAATCCACAAGTATCTTTAGAGTATAACGTTATTGCTTCTACCTTGCGTTTTCATATATATGATGGAAAATACGCTGTACAAAACAAGGGTTAGCTTATGTAGTTCACATCATAGATGAGTTGGCCGTCAAACTAGTACGAAATGGGTAACTTTTCCTACGTCTGAACATGTCCCATAGTGACAATCTGCAGTACCTTATCAACCACTGGAACGTTGGTCACCTGTTGCTAACATAGAGGGAGGATCTAAGCAAGTCAGTTCATGCAGCAACTATGTGCCTTTAATAGGTTCTGTTCACAAAAGGCAACCACATGATGCGAAATGGCTTCGTAAGATCATCCTCACAGGATGACAAAAGGATATGGGTTCTTTGTTTCTAGGAAGGATAAAGATGGAAGTTCAGTTGACTTCAAAAATGATCTGGAAACAATATTCTTGCAAGACAAGAAGTTTAAATGGTTTGCAGGCTAGTCAATAATCATGAAAAGCCAGCATTATATCCCATTGTCAAAAACAGATGGTTCAAATTCCATAGCATGGCATTCAGAAGGTTATATTTGTATGCAAACTAATTTCACATCTCATGTTATATACTTCTATGGTTCCTAACTACCATACAGAAGAGACAATTAGCAGTGATACGGTGCAAATGACCTAATGTGAGGTATCCTGCCTTAGACCAACATTTACCCCACAAGAATACTATCATTGTTTCTTTTGGTTTGTGATCCTTTTCTTGTGTTTCCAGTTGCCTTGCTGTTAATACCTTCATCTATATTCCAGTTGTGTTCATTGATCAAAATTGTGGTATGATCACAAATTAAAGCACCTTTCAGTAATTTTAAACCGGTTATTGCCTAAGATTTAAATGGACAGTATGTTTAGATTTCCTCAAATGATCATTCTCTATTCTTCCTTATATACGAATATACCTAATCAAACACAGGCACAACTCCAGTTCCTACATCCACAGGATCCAGCCATTGCCGAAGTCCTTATTTAAGAATGTAACCATTCGAATATGGATTCCTTCTTAAACACCAATCCAGAGATCACATCCGTGTGCAGAACTTAACTCTGCCAAATGAACTTAAAAGGACACCAGAGCTCACTGAACATTTCAAAAGAAATAAAATACTATTTTTCCATAACAAATACTGAATCAGATAGCTTGCAACCTTGGCAAAAGTGAGAGAGCATTTTCCATTAATAATCATAATCAACTGGTCAATTCATCTGATTCAAAATGTTAGGGGGGATCTTAACATTCAATTAACAAAGAAAGCTTCACCCAATATGAAAATCACCAAAAAGCAACAACAAATTCAGCAAGCACAGTTTAGCACTTCCCTAACTCTAGAGCTCAAACAGTCGGATAACTTCATTACATTGCAAAATTAACAATTGCATACCTGTTTGCCGCTAGCACACAAAAGGTATGAATTTGCACCTAACTTTACTCGCATACTCCAAGTAACTCTCTCCAAAAGACTCTACCATTAGAACCTCCTCCAATTTTACTTTCCGCTCATAATACAGCAAACAAACTGCTACAACGAACAACAAGCTAAGAGGTGTTCTAAGTGCAAGGCAATAAGTTGAAAATAAAAGCATTGTAGATGCGTATATCGGATGCCGAACCCACCTGTATGGCCCAAATTGGACGACAGCAGTTGGCACCACTACTTTCTCTGAATACTTTGCAAGATACAATGTTGAATTATATTGCATCAAAAGAGTTACCAGAATCAGCATCCACAGTTCAATGTTGCTCCAACCTCCTGGAACTCGATGCATCTCTGGAGCTTCAAATGCAGCAAGCCAGTGCCCAACCATGACTCCAACACAGAACAAAAGACGATACCATTTGGGTGGGTTCACATCCCACTTAGGATCATGTGGGCGGGCATAATAATCTCCGTACAATCGTTTTCTTACACTGACATTGAAGAAAAAGAAATAGTGGTATACAAAGAAGAAGATAAAGGGCCAACCTTCAAGCTAGCCATTGAAATAAGAATGGGGTACTAGAGTTAGCCAAGTGAATACTGAAGTAACAATTGCAAGTTGCTCTACAATGCTTGCTTCACCAATGGAATGCTTTCGAAAAGCATACAAACCATATAAAGCAAGGATAATAGCTACAAACCATGGCCAGACAACCAACTCCAGCTGAAGTACATTCAAAAGAAAGGATTAAAAACCACATCCAGTCCATTTGGTAGCTGCAACTCCAAGGGAAACAATAGCAGCCCATTTGGCAATCTTTATAGGAGTTAACTCAGAAAGAGCTGATTTGACTGAATCAAAAGAGAGGTTTTTGAGGGTTCAAGCAAAGGGTTTCGAGAATCTGGGCTTGGAATGTTGGAAAATGAGCATTTGAGAGGAGACAAAAACTGGGTTCTTGTTGTTTTCCGAAGCGGTGACGGTGAAAGACTGAAACTTGATGCGTTTCGGATAGGTCTGAGGCTCTGTTGAGAATAACAACCCTTGCTTTGAAATTGTTTGTTGAAATGCCTGCAAGAAATTATTCGGTTGTCTTTCAAATTGAAGCCAAAAGGGACTGTTGTCGACTGCAACAGCGCAGTGGCAGTTTCCATGGATTGTTTGAACAAATAGAGGTGCAAAAAGAACAGTTATGGGAATCTACGGTGAGACATTTGTTGTCTTCTTTAGAGATAAAATGCAGAAATCTTTCTGCAGCTATCGACAATTCGCAGATTAGTAGCGGGAAAAGACGGATCCTCAGCCCAACTACTTTCACAATGGCCCATCATGTTTTTCTTCGGTATACCAATGCCCATTGGCTGAATTTTCTATTAAATAGATTTAAGCATTTGATAAATGAAAAATATAACTCTCGATGATCGGAACCCACGTACAGTGAAATACATGCTAGTTGAGAGTACATCATTTTCTTTTAGGATAAAATATATAATTAATTTCTTGAATATAAGATATTATTTTATTAATTTTTTATTATTAGATGTTATAAAATAATTTTTTAATTATAAGATGTTATTTTGTTGAGTCGATAATTATCAAAAGTTATAAAATAATCATTTGATTATTTATATATTTCAAACTCGTTCTTTTTATTAAAAAATTGGCAGTTATTTGAGTTAGACGTTAACTTGTTGATTGTGATATGATAAAATATGATTTCATAATTGTTTGAGTTTGATGTTGTGAATTAACTTTTCGTTTACATCATGTCGTCGAACCAATGTTTGAAAGTAACGACGATGCCTATATAATAATTTTATTATATCATAATCAGCAAGTTAATGTCTAGCCTAAATGATCATCATTTTTTTTAATGAAAGAGACGAGTTTAAAACATAGGAATAGTTAAATGATTGTTTGTAACTTTTAATATTTTGATAATTCAATAAAACAATTCCATAATCGATGGACTGTTTTTTACTTCGCCCTTTCTTTTACTACCTAAACCTTACGGTCCACACCATTGATCACGTTTCACAAGTTTTATAATTAATACAAAAATATATTAAAATTGATATTTGATCTTTTAAGTTGTCTGGGAATATTTTAAAATTGTTTTTATACTAAAAGGCTATCTCAAATGTTTAATTTTTGGATGAAAAAAACTCTAAAAAGACACTTATAAATCCATCGCAAAAGTAATATTTTTATAACTTTTTAATAAGTAAATCACATTTGAGATTAAATAATTTTTTCACCCCTTCATGCCAATCACATAACCTTTGACATTCTTCCATTCTCAAATCTCTTCAAAAACATTTCACCCTTTTAATGAGTTATAAAAAAATTATCATTGTAAATTAAATTGATATGCTTTATTATATATTATAAATGATAAATTTAAATAGTATTAAATTAATTTGCTTTTATTTTACAATAATATCTAAAAATAGATATTTCATGTTTTTTAAAAATATTTGTTAACCATAATATCAAATATGGTCTTAAAATAAAAATTTTAAAATCATAGTTTATATAATTTTTTTCATTGCATTTACGTTTTTGTCATTTAAGTTAATGATTTATAATGTTTTGGATAATGAGATGTTCAATGCTATTAGTTTGATTATATGAAACGTTAATGGAAAGAATTAATTTTTAATTTAACCTTGAACTTTAAATAGATTATAAATTTATATAAAATATTAATTTAATCATATAACTTAAGATAAAATATCATTTTAACTCTTGAATTTAATAAAAAAATATCTTGTTATCAACCAAAGGGTTAAATTACTTATCTAACACTTGAACCAAATTAATTTTTTTATTAACATATCACATCATCATACTGACAGGGTCGGTATTGATTATTTGTAGGCTCGTGGCGAAAATAAAAAATGGGCCTCTAATATAAAAAAATAAGAAATATGTAATATAAAAATTTTATTAGATTTTTTATTAAATTAAAAATAATAATTCATTACAATATAAAAGATGTCAAAAAATATATTTAAGAATACAAATACTTATAAAAAATATTACATTCGATCATTTTTTATGCAAAAACATTGATGACAGTATCAACATCAATGTTTTTCAATATATTTTTTCTCAATACATAACATAACATTTGAAAATAAAAGAACGATCTTATCTAAAATTTGAAAATATATAAAATTAAAAGAAACAATTTGAAAATGTGGTCTACCTAGAATTTTAAGAACAATCTTCAATATGATTCAAACACCATAATTGATAATAAACAATTGTGATTTTACATTTGAGAGAAATATGATAAATTAAAAAATGAGAATAATAATTTTTAAATGAATCGTGAAACATGAAAGAAAAAAGAAGCATGTTAATTATGCTTAAATTTTTTTCTTCTCACTAAGTTTTGAAAAAAATAATGTTAATAAAATTTTTTTATTGATATCAAAATCGGGAAAGAGATTTGGTGAATTAATAGTAGGAATTTGGAAAGACCAAAATTAAAGAGTTTAATTTTTTTTTTGAATTTTGAGAAAGAAATATTAAATTAGTATTTATGGAAGAATAATTTATTAACGTTAATATAAATTTATTGAGTAAATTACGTGTTTAGTACCTAAATTATCAGTTTTGGTTTGTTTTAGTACTTAAACTTTCAATTTTTTCAAAACCATACGTAAAGTTTAGTTTTTGTTTCATTTTAGTACCCGCCGTTAAAAACTTTAGTCTTTTTTATTTCATTTTAGTATACATTCAAAATTTAAAGTTAAGTTTTATTTTTAAAAAAAAATTTAGGTACTAAAACAAACAATAACTGATAGTTAGGTACTAAACGCGTTAAGTTTTTAATGACGATACTAAAATGAAATGAAAACTAAACGTTAAATATGATTTTAAAAATTTTAAAAGTTTAAGTACCAAAATGTATCAGAACTAATAGTTTAAGTACTAAATTCATAGATTACTCTATTTTATTTTACAATTTTAGTACCTAAAATTTCAATGAGTTTAGTACCTGCCCTGGCCTAGGGCCGGCCCTGCGTACTGATCACAAGTAATATTTCAATGAGCAAAGCGCTATAAACCAATAATGTAAGAAAGTTATTTTCTAAAACCGGTGACAAAAATGAATAAAAATAAAACAAAAGTAACCATTTTAAAACTTTACCCATTATTATTATTATTGAGAAACAAAGCAAATCCACTTGTTTCTCTATACAAATCCACGACCATACCAATAAAGTCGGGTTCACACCCTATTCCTATTTATCAACTTCCTTTTCAATCAAAAAATTTCACACAAAGCATTTCTTTTATTAACTTTAAAATCCATCCCGAAAACACGCTGACGCTGTTTACTAAGATTATTTCTTCATCCAAAAAAATATTTTCCCCCAATTTTTTCTTGATTTATATTACCTTTGATTTATTTTTTTTCTTCCTTCAATCATAGAATTATGATTTTTTCTAAGCTTGGCCGATCATATTCCCGATCGTCTCATTCAAGGGTAAGTCTTTCTTTTGTTTAATATATTTTTCTCATTCAATTTATTATTTTTTTACGATTATTTATCTGTTTTCTGAAAAATAGAAGTTGTTGTATTGTGGCGATGGACGTGGCAGTACCGGTGGAACGTCGCCGAGCTTGCCGCGTTTGAGCGGAGACGTAGATCGACTAATCGGGCAATCAGGGTATTTGGGAGGATATTTATCTTCAATAGGGGCTGCAAGGGAGTTTACTTCAAAGGCTTATTTGTCTGATTTAAATTTCGTTCTTGCTAACCCTAAAATCCGTCGCTTTTTCTCAAGTGAAGCCCCAAAGAAGAAGAGTAAGCCACATATGAACTTTTTTATTTATTTCGAATTTTCATGGTTATATAATTTGTTAACAAGTGTTAATGAATGTTACATTTATTATTTGTTATTAGCAAAACTGAATTATCTCGAGTAATTTGAGGCGAGTGAAATGGAATAAAGTCAGTTTTATTTTGTTCTAGATGACATGTACTGTTCTTAAATTTTAGGTGCTAAGCAAGCTCTGGTTTTAGCATTTTGAGGATATTTTACATTGGTTTTTCATATTGATAGTTTGAGTTGTTAATGAAGAGATTGACTTAGAAATTTTGGATATTTGTGTTGGTTCGAACTTACAATTTTTACCTTTGTTCTTGTCTTTTTTTATTATTTGCAGATTATGAAAACTTTTACCCAAAGAAAAAGAAGGAAATTCCAAAGCAAAATGACCAGAAATCTGACTCCAAAGGTGAGTCCATATCTCCCTCCTTTATTTCAAATCAGTTTTACAATGCTATCAATGTCAATTCACAGAGATGTCATGAAAATATCGGTTTGACATCCTTTCTGATAGAAACAGTTGGGGTCGTATGTTATATTTCCCTCTTGCAATCATGTTGTGTGAGAAGCAGGAAGATATGATTTTGAAATTATCTCGTAGAATAATTTTCTTAGCCCTGTAGGCTTATACTATGTTGAGGTTGCTTACTTAAGTATGACAGTGTGTTTACCTTTACCTTTAATATTTTAATGTATATAAGTATCATCAATGAATATACTCTTAAAGTGCCTGCAAGATATAGCTTATATAGACTTTAACATTTTTTACTTATTTTTTCTCAATTTCAGAGGATCCCAACACAGATGACCAATGGAACTTTCAGGAAACTTTCACGAGGCTTTTTCAAATTTTGGTTGTACCTTCGTTAGTTCTTGCATTGTTTCTTTCTATGTTTCCCTGGACTGTTGAGCAGCAACAAGTAAGCAACTCCCAATTTTTTTTCACCTTGTTTACTTTCTTCATATATAAGTGGGTTAGTATTAGATGGATAGAAGATTTAAATGGACCAAAATGCATAGAGTCAGCACTGCCCGTTGCTAGTTTGAATATTGTATTGTTACTTCCACATTTGTTTGGCTTCTAAATATAAGCAAAGTTCATCTCTTTTGTTTACCAAAAAAAATAAAAAAGGTTCATGTATTTTCTAAGCTTTGATTGCTATGCAAATCTTTCTTGCAGATTAGTTTCCAGGAGCTCAAGAACAAACTTCTGGAGCCAGGTTTAGTTGACCATATAGTTGTTTCTAATAAGTCAGTTGCAAAAGTGTATGTGAGGAACACACCATACAATCAAACAAGTGATGATGTTCTCCAAGGTCCTGCTAATGGTACTTCTGTCAGAGGACATGGAGGTGAATACAAATGCTTCTTCACTATTGGTAGTGTTGAGTCTTTTGAGGAGAAGTTGGAAGAAGCCCAAGAAGCTTTAGGAATTGACCCACATGATTATGTTCCTGTGACATATGCCTCTGATGTGATCTGGTACCAGGAGTTGATGAGGTTTGCACCCACATTATTACTTCTTGGAACCCTTATTTATATGGGCCGGAGAATGCAAGGCGGACTCGGTGTTGGTGGAGGTGGTGCTAAGGGTGGCCGTGGAATTTTCAACGTAGGAAAAGCCCATATAACCAAAGTGGACAAAAATTCCAAGAATAAGGTTAGTCTTCTGTTTCAACTCCTGTTACATTTAAAGTAAAAACCAGAATCTGAAAATTTCCAGTTTTCTGTCTTTATTACCTAAACTCGTTTGCCTGTTTTTCTTTGTGTTGCTAGAATATGAAAATGTACTCGGTCATTATTTACCAATATTTTCTGCTTCTTATCTATGTAGGTCTATTTCAAAGATGTTGCTGGTTGTGATGAGGCAAAACAAGAGATCATGGAATTTGTGCACTTCCTTAATAACCCAAAGAAATACGAGGACCTAGGAGCTAAAATTCCAAAAGGTGCTCTGTTGGTGGGTCCTCCAGGTACAGGAAAGACCCTTCTAGCAAAAGCTACTGCTGGTGAGTCGGGTGTACCTTTTCTATCTATATCAGGTTCTGATTCATGGAGATGTTTGTTGGTGTTGGACCATCCAGGGTGAGGAACTTGTTCCAAGAAGCAAGGCAGTGTGCTCCTAGTATAATATTTATTGATGAGATTGATGCGATTGGTCGAGCAAGAGGTCGTGGCGGTTTCTCAGGTTCTAATGATGAGCGTGAAAGTACACTTAATCAATTACTAGTAGAAATGGATGGATTTGGAACTACTTCGGGAGTTGTTGTGCTTGCTGGTACTAATAGGCCTGATATCTTAGACAAAGCTTTATTGAGGCCAGGGCGATTTGATCGTCAGATTTCAATAGATAAACCCGATATTAAAGGCCGTGAACAGATATTTCTGGTCTACTTGAGAAAGATAAAGCTCGATCATGAGCCATCATATTACTCTCAAAGACTTGCAGCTCTCACTCCTGGCTTTGCTGGAGCAGACATTGCAAATGTTTGTAATGAAGCTGCTCTAATTGCTGCAAGGAGTGAAGGGGCACAGGTCACAATGGATCATTTTGAGTCTGCTATAGACAGGATCATTGGTGGTCTTGAGAAGAAGAACAGGGTAATTATATTATAGTTGTTTTTATTTTCTGTGATTATCTATTATCCCTGATATTAGAACCTATGTCTTCATTCAGTTAACATTGAACTTTTATCAGTCATTATGAGATGGTGATCATTGCATTGCATGTTATGTCCAGAGTAGTGATTGATAACTTTACAGCATTATTTTATGTCTCCATTTTTCTTCTATCCACCCTAATAACAGATTCTTCTGGGTATCAATCAGGTAATCAGTAAACTTGAGCGGAAGACAGTTGCTTATCACGAATCAGGTCATGCTGTTGCAGGCTGGTTCTTGGAACATGCTGAACCCCTCTTGAAAGTGACAATTGTTCCTCGCGGTACAGCAGCACTTGGATTTGCCCAGTACGTTCCAAATGAAAACCTTCTCATGACAAAAGAGCACTTTTTGATATGACGTGCATGACCCTCGGTGGCCGAGCAGCTGAACAGGTAAATTTGAAACTTTCTATTTCCATGTATGGTTGAGTGCAAATAGAAACTCAAATTCATCAAAATATTTACTTGAGTGCTCCGTTTTTGGTTTGTCATGTTATATATTCCGAATACCGAAATATTCCAACACTGAGGCACAGACTAGAACTAGAAAACTAAATCGAATTTCCTCCGTGATTCAGGTTTTGTTGGGAAAGATATCAACCGGTGCTCAAAATGACTTGGAGAAGGTGACTAAGATGACCTATGCCCAGGTGGCAGTTTATGGCTTTAGTGACAAGGTAGGTCTCCTCTCTTTCCCTCAAAGAGAAGATGGGCTTGAGATGTCGAAGCCCTATAGCAATAAGACAGGTGCTATCATCGATAGTGAAGTGCGCGAGTGGGTAGCCAAGGCATATGAAAAAACAGTGCATCTTATAGAGGAACACAAAGATCAAGTAGCTGAAGTTGCCGAATTGTTGCTCGAAAAGGAAGTTCTTCACCAAGATGATCTAGTTCGAGCTTTGGGAGAACGACCATTTAAATCGAGTGAAGTTACAAACTATGAAAGATTTAAGCAAGGGTTTGAAGATGAAGAAACTAAGAGCACGCAAACCCCAGAGGGTGGAGCTGCGGACGATGATGGATCTGAACCCCTTGTTCCTCAGGTTGTCCCAACTTGATCCGTCATTGAGGTTATCCTAATTTATGTACATTTGAGTCAATAAATTGTTTCTACTTTCCGCGACTGTTTTATACAATAGCCAGTACTGACCGACCATTCTGGACTGCTGTTTAACATTGTATCCTTTGTACATTATTCAAGCCGTCGACATTAGTTGCGAAATCCAGATGTGCGTCTTATTTTCGATCAATAAAAGAATTATGAAATAAAACATAGTTTAGTTACGTTTATACTATTTTTTTTCCCTTTTTCTTCGTGTGTGGCCTATTTCTTGGAAGGGGCAGAAACAATTGTCCAAAAATATTAGGTCGTGAAGAGGAAAGTATTTCACATAATTCTTTTTACTATTAATTATAATAGAAAAAAATAAGTACTCATTGTATTTTAGTGTGGATGGCAGCTCATGTGATTTTAACTTTTCATAGATTAGTTATAAGACTTATAACTTGGGATTTATATACTTGCATGTATAGGAAGGCTGAAATAATTTGTTTCAGATAATCTTATGTAGTTTTTCTAAAATTTGTAGCATTCATTTATGTATGATGCATCTTAATATTCACATGAGATTCATACATTTTTGGATCAATATATTTTATAAATGGATTGATTATTTCTTAATTTTCCAATATATCTTCATATACATTAATTTAATATACATTTTTTTGTTTCAAGATCTAAATAAAATATATTCTAATTTTTATCATTATTATTATATTATACTTATACTTAAAATATAATAACTTTTTATTATTTTATTTATTTAAACCTAAAGTTTAACACTAGAAGTCTCAGGTTCAAGTAATATAGACTGTAAAAGTGTTTTAAATCTTTATTGTTAAATGATTGAGAATATTTATAATATATACTGCTTATAATCAACTTTGATTAATAAAAAAAATTATTTTTAACGTATATAAGACAAGACCTTTTGAATCATTATTCAATAACAAAATTTTTGGGGAGTTCTTATTTTGGTTGTATGAAAGTAAAATTTGTTTTTTATTTTTTTAAAAAGGAGTTTTTATGCACAATTAACGCATTAATCAAACATAATCCGTAATCGAGTTCAGCCGCAAAAGTAGTGCTTGAAGGTCCTTCCTTATGAAATTTGAATCCATCAATGACCCATCTAGATTGGGTCAATTGGTGCTGCAGAGACCCAAAGTTTCAATTCATCAGCCCCAGAATGAGAAAATTTACAGCCCTAAAATTAACTCCGACAAAAACAGAACAAAACACAGTGTGTTTTCCCTTCCCTAACCCTAAGCCCTCGTTTTCCTTTCCTCCTATTTCCCTCCTTCAGAATACTGTACTCAACGTTTTTCCCTTCTTGTAGCCAAAAGAGGGAAAATAAGCAATTCAAATAATCTTAATTCCAATCTTTGCTTCTTAAATGGCGAAGCGAGAGCTCTCCAGTACTTTGAGGGGCTTGAAGGTAATCTAAGAGCACGAAACTCTTTTCTTTGTTAGTAGTTTTGTTCCTTGATATTTGTGTATTTTTTGATATATCTACTTTTATAATATTATTGTTTTGTTGATTTTCTATTGAATTTGCAAAAGAGAAGAAGTCTTATGTTTTTATAGGTTCTGTTGTTTCTTATGGGGTTTTTGAAATTTGAACTTGGCCTTGTTTTAATTCATCTGGATTTCGTTTATTTTTTTTTCCAAGGTGGAAAATATTGTTATCTTTTAACATGTTTGAGTTCTGATTTTTTAATTCTATTTCATGCAATAATAGTTCATGCAAAGGGCAGCTCACAGAGAGGAGAAAGTGGTAAAGGAAGAAGAGGTTAAACCTGAAGGAATTAGTACTATTACTAGAAAATGGTACCTAAATTTCCACTCTTTGTTTATGAATTATCTTAAATCTCTATTATTAAACATTATTCTTTCTTCAGAGATTGCTTAGATTTAGTTATGATATGATATAAGCCTTTGGCGTTATTATGCATTAATATGATTGCATGATTGCATATAGGTTATACTAGAATGTTCCATGAACTTGTACTTAAAGGCAACAGAAAGAGAATGGACAGTTGATATATATTTTTTCCCGGGAGTTGAATATTCTTTCAATGCTGGTCGTCGGAGTTGATACTTGAACTTATACTACTTGCCTGACTGTTCTTATTTTCAACTTGTTTAACTTGTTTGCGAACATTCAGTGTGGTAATTATGGAAGGGGATCCTCGTCCAGGAGCAACTGTTGGGCGCATGTCATTTCAAAGTTTCAATCCTTCTATTGATGTGAGTATCAAGGTCAAGTGGCCTAAGAATTTTGCCCGATGATGACTTTTCACTTAATGTGGTTCTCTTGTTGCTTTTGTCATTTTTTCTTTTTCTTTTTTGAAAGAGCTTTTGTACTCATTTGAATGCCTTGTCTCGGTAGAAATTGAACGAATCAGCATTAAATGTTTGTAGACCAGATGCCAGTGGTGGAAGACCCTCTTCTAGGTAGGCTTTCTTTTTCTTTTTAGGGTTGGTGTTAATGTTCCAGTATTTCCTGAAAATCTTTGAAAATTATTATGTTGTTTGTGTCGTATATAAGTCTTACATGAAAGATGTTGTCACTTTTGCCCTGTAGTAAACATAATTTATCATTTTCGCCCATATCGTATTTTTGCATCAATTTAGTCCTCAAAGTTGTTTAGTTGCATCATTCTATACCCTAGCTCTAACTTAAAACCTTAAATTGATAATCCTAAACCCTAAACTATAACCCCATAACATCTAAACCTTTAATCTTAATCTCTAACTTAAAACTCTCAATTTAGGGTTTTAAGTGAGGGGTATGATATAGAATGATGCAATTGGACAACTTCGAGGGCTAAATTGATGACGAAAATATGATTTGGGCGAAAATGATAAATTGGGTCGTACCCTTTTGCCAAAGATGTTAATCCAAATGCTTAATTCTTAAACGAAAATCCTAATTAATATTAGTGAGGGGCCTGGAATGGAAGAAATATGGGCATGTTGAGATGGAAATGCTAGTCACATGTAGGTTTAGTTCACGTCAGAGACAGGTTTGCACAAGTTGCATAGTTTATTTGACCTTTTGTCCTTGAATTGCGACAGCGAGAATGGATCTGCATCTGAAGCAAATGACTGCTCAAAAGTTGGCACCGATAAACACGAAGGCAATGGAGACCTTAAGAGAAAACAGGTCGACATGGTTTCCAAACCAGTGTATCCGAATAAATCACCAAAAAATGGTAAAGCTATTCAATCGTCACCAAGAAGCAACAAAGCCTCCTCCAAAAAGCAATCAAAGCATGAGAAGCTCGACTGGAATGTTCTCAGGCCACCAAAGCCTAATCAGTGATCCGTATTATGAAATTGTCTTCAATGTAGTGAGTACATTAATATTTGTTTTCATGTTCCCAAAAGCCTGTAACTTTGTTGTCATATTATTAAATATCAGCTTTTTAACTTTCAGATTTGTTCATTTTAGCAGTTAATAATTTACAAACTTCACCAAATTGAATGGTAATAACTGAATCGAATAAGCTTTTGAAGAAAGTAATGGTTTCCAACAAGTAATGGTGACAAGCTTGAGGTTTGTTTGTTTATGCGAACTTCATCACGGTTCATTGCTAGCAGGTTTCCAACAAGAAAGGGCATAAATAACTCTCCCTTTCCATACCTGCAGCATCCAGTGGCCATCCAAATCTAAACCAAAATCTCTATGATAATTACATTGGACCAAATTCCTAACTTTCTTAACCAGCTCCTTATCCAAAGGAACCTGCTTGAACCCGGACCTCACAGTCCTCGCTTGCCATTGCTTATACGTTTCTGGTCTTTCAACCCTCTTACTGCCCTCGCATGCAATGACATTCATAACGTCCCTTCCAAGCACTTCCTTCTCAAACATCATCCTTCCTGGATCTTCTCGAGAAACATTAGCTTCAAATATATCAAACTTAGCAGAGAAATGGAAGAGTGCTTCTCGGAATCTTGTGACAAAGAATGGAGCGTTATACGTCCCATTTTCAATTCCATGGATAAATAACTCCGGATTAATGCTTCTGATCAACTTCAGAAGAGTGTCCCTTGCACTGGTAGAAGCCATTGTGTCATCCGGAAGGTTCTTTAGCCTATACATGCAGTTAACAACCACCACTTTGCCCTTGTTAATCTTTAGTTCTTTGAGTCGGATGGATTCCCATTTCTTTGCTATAACGGTGTACTCAAATGGAACATTGAATCTCTCACAATACCTTTTCAAGCGACGCCCTGTCTCTTCCACTTTTTCTGCAGGTCGAGGACCTGGTTGGGGAAACTCAATTCCGGTAATACGAAGCTTGGGAGGTCCACCGGACCTTGTTGAGAGATGCCGGATAAGGCAAGGCCATTGGAACCCATAGCAAATGCCGAAATCAACGATGTGGAGCGTGATTGCTGTTTCTGCAACTCCCATGATCTTTTTATTTGCATAGAAATTCGACATTTTCTTAAAAGGACAAGCTGAAACATACACGCCGTAAGCTTTCAAGACATCAGCGGCCGAAGTCTTGTTGCTTAGAAGATGTAAATAGGATGGTGCCCCCAAGCCAGCCAAACGAGTTTTAAGTGCTTTAGCAAAGTAATATGCCAATCTTTGGGTTCCGTCTCCGGTATCATAAGAGTGTTGACGTATCTGTTTCAGCAACTCATTGGCAGTTCTTTGGTCATCGATGGCTACAGATTGTGCACATTGAGTTAGGAGACTCGACAAATCCACCACTTCTCTCTTCTTCCCGTTGTTCTTCCTGCGTGACACTGTTCCACCATTGGTAGACTCTTTCAGCTGCGAGTTACCATGAAGAGACCACTTTAGATAGTCCTCATTTTCACCTTTGCAAAGCAGTACCTCGTCGTACATCTCCAACTGTTCTGAATCTTCAAGTGAAATTGCAGATTGCTTGCTGCTAGTACCTTCTTCTAAATAGTCACCATCTTCGCGCCGATAATTTTTCCTTCCCTTCGACCTTAATGGTGATAGGCTGCTTTGTGGAGCCAAATCACCAGTGGGAGAGGACTCCCTAAATGACTCAGCCGTGGTGTCTCTCCATGTAACCGAGTCGGTACCAGTAATATGGCTGTTAATGCTACCAATGCGTGTGGTTTGAGTTGGATTATCGTCTGGGAATAGAGAGATAGGTTCAACTGGAAGTGGATATTGGTGGCCTAGGACATCATAGAAGGATTCCTCAGCAGCTTGGAGAGCTAAACAATCCTGCAACATGCAGGACTTTTCTTGCAGATCTTCTTCCATTAGCATCTGGTTTATGTATTTAAGCATTTCATTGGCGAAAGGAATATTATCAAGCCGATGTCCTTGAAAACTCGTGCCTGGCGGTGAAGCTGAACCATCAGGAATATTAACAAGGTCATGATTTGTAAACATTGGCACTGAGCCATGATCAAATTTGAACTCGATAATATCTTGGAAAAGGCTATCCATATTAATTTGGAAACTCATCTTGAAGGTAAAAAAATTGAAGGGAAAATGAATGTTGGTTCAAGAAGGGAAATATATAAAATGAAGGAACCAAAACTGAGAACAACTAGTCAATGAGCCAAGTAAAGAAGCTATATAATTTCCTTGTCTGAAGAAATAAAACTGGAAATTCTCTTTACTTATAATGGTCAAGCTGATAAGCTTTTGTGAGTGAACCTTCGAGGAAACTACAGTTATGGCGGAATAGCCGCCACCTCATACTCACCGTTTTGAGACAGATTATGGGTGTCATCAAAGTCAAGGAGCAAATTGACTTCGTTGGAGAATGGCTTATTTGATCCAGCGACTGATGTTATGTTATACTATATTTGTATATACTTATTATAGTTAATTACTTAAATTTCTAATATAACTTAATAAATTCGATATAAAATCTTACATTCTATCTCTAAAATCGTTTGAATAATCAGTCCAAATACCTAATGAAGAGCAGGGTGACTGAGAAAGAACGCCCCTAGATTCTTTCTGCAGTGATTCTCGGTGCTTAAATTGATAAGTTGATGGGCAGATGACTGATAGCCAACAAATGAAGTTGGGTGATCCACTCGTACATTTTGAAGATGAGCTCAGTAATTTTCAGATTAATCTGAGTTCAATCAAAGCTGAAAAAGTGGGAAAATAATATTCCAAATACCGATTCAATGAATCTTACCCACTTGATTTATGCTTTATTTGAATGCGGCATTGGAATTAGAAAGGGTGTCATATCTCATCCCATTAGAGACTGAAAGCGCCATTGAATCTTTATGTGTGAAAAACAAAAAGAAACTCTTTCCAAAGTTCAAACAAAGCATTTAGTATATAATTTATAAAACCAACTTTGCATTGGACTGTAGTTTGATGCTGATAAGGAAACGCGTTAATGTTTTTGTTTATAGCTTCCAAGCATAGAAATAATAGCTCATATCACAGATTTTTGGATGGGTCAAAACTCAAAAAGAAATCTTGAAAACCCAAGTTCTAGATATTTCATGACTACATAAACCAGCTAGATTAAACTTTGTAAAGTATGTTATTTTACTTTGATTGGTAATACAGAAATGGTCATCTATATATTACTGAAATAGAAGAATTAAAGCGGATTACTCCTGGACAGGTTTCCAGCAAGAAAGCGCTTGGATTACTCTCCCTTTCCATCCTTGAAGCATCCATCGGCCATCTACCTCAATATCAAAATCCTTATGGTAGTCTGATTTCAACACCGTCCTTGCTCTGTTCAATATCTTCTGCTCTAATGGAAGCTGTCTGAAACCAGCTTTCTTGTTCCTCAGCTGCCACTGCTTGTATGTTTCTGGTCTATCGATTCTCTCCATACCTTCACATGCGATAACGTTAATGGCATCCCTTCCGAACATTTCTCTTTCAACTAGCAATCTATCTGGATCTTCACCGGCTACATTGGCTTCCAGGATGTCGAACATTGCTGAGAAGTGGTAGAAAGCCTCTCGAAATCGATTGTTAAAGAATGGGACATTGTAATTACCATTAACAACTCCGTGGATGAAAAGATCCGGATTGATTTTCTTGATCAACTTCAAGACCATGTTCCTTGGACTGTTTAACATGACCGAATCATCGGGGAATTCTTTAGCCTGTACATACAGTTAACAACGACCAACTCGTCTCTCTCGATCTTTAGCTCCTCGACTCGGATGGTTTCCCATCTTTTTGCTATGGCATTGAACTTGAATGGGACATTAACATTCTCACAACATCTTCTTAAACGACGGCCGGTCAATTCGATTCTTTCCGCAGGCCGGAAACCGGGTTGGGGGAAGTCAATCCCCGTGATGCGAAGCTTAGGCGGTCCACTGGTCCTTGTTGAGAGGCGCTGGATAAGGCAAGGCCATTGAAAACCGTAGGCAATGCCGAAATCAATAACATGGATTGTTGTTGCCTTATCTGCTAGCTTTGCAATGTTTCGATTGGAAAACAAATTTGATATCCTTTTGAAAGGGCAAATTGAAACATATAAAATGTGTGCTTTTAAGACGTCAGAAGCCAATGTGGCATTGGTGGAAATGTGGGTAAATAGAGCTGCCCCGGTGCCACTTAAGCGTATTTCGAGACCCTTGGCAAAGTAATAAGCCAACCTCTCGGTTCCATCACCAAAAGGAGAAGAATAGTGCCTGATCTTACCAAGTAGATCGGTTGCAGTTCTTTGGTCATAAACGGCAACAGCTTGTGCGCATTGGCTTAGCAGACTCCACAAGTCCACCATTTCCTTTCCACTACCAGCTTGTTTCTTTGCAGGGGATCTTCTTTTAGTGTTGGCTGCTCTATTCTGTGATGCTTCATAAAGAGGACATGAAGACAAGGACACACCATTCTCCTTCTTAACAAGGAAAACCTCGTCGAACATGTGCTCCTCGTATGAATCTTCAGCAGCCATTGCCAAATGCTTGCTTTTCCTCATTTCTTCTGAGGAATCCGAACATTCATTCCCCATCGATCCGTTCAGTTTGTGCTTCCAGACTTTCTTCTGTGATTCCGTGTGAATCACCCCTTTCTCTTGCTGATCATATTTCTGAGTTAGAACATCATAGAAAGCTTTCTCCTTAGCTTGGAGAGCTAAACAATCCTGCAACATGCAGGGCCTGCCCTCGACATCTTCTTCCATAAGCACATCATTTATGAAGTTCAACACAGCGTAGGAAAAATCGATGTTTTCATTACCATATGGGGAGTTTCCATCAGAATCGGAGGAACCCAAAGACGATGAAACAACATGAACGAGATGGTTGTTTGATTTGGCTCCATTAACAGGATTCTGAGCCATGTTGGAATGAAGATGACGACTCAGGGCTCTGATAATTTTACTACAAAAGCAATAATTGTCTGAACCTTCTTTGAAAGTCCAAGATAAGACCAAACCCAACAGTCGCCTCGTAATAACAAGCTGAACAGACAGGCATTCAACGGAGTTATTAAAGGACAAAAGGAAGGGTATTAAATTGACTTTGAGGATCACCTAATTTGATTGTCCTGAATCATTCCTACATCAGATATCGAGCCACAGAAGATTACACTCACTTTATTATTATTATTATTATATATATATATATATATATATATATAAAACGGTGGTATTGCTAGGTTAATTGAACTTGAAAAAGCATATGGCCGCCCAGTTTGAATTCTCAGTCTTTTTTACTTCATTATTCATATCTCATATATCTGATTAATTCCACTTCCACTACACTGATCTTACTTGTTTATATTATATAATGTATAACGAGATTTTGATTATTTTAATTACATTTAATGTGTTGATGAGGACATCACTAAATAATGATGTGGATAGCATCATTATGGGTCTATAGCTTAGCTTTATTATGGGTCTATAGCCACGAAGAAATGTCCATAAAATAAGAAAGGAAGAGTAAAATGGTGACAACAAAATTATTGCGTTTGACAAAGTTGGAGGGGGTTGTTTAGACATCATTTAATATGATTAGGGTTGTTTGTTTATTTCAGAATGATTAAGTGTTGAATGATTCAGAGGCTCTGTATGAATTAGCTTGAATGTGACATGTTGTTTGATAATGCTCTGAATCATTCAGAATGTACTTTTGTGCTGAATCATTCAACAATGTTTTGCTGAATCAGTCACACTGAATCATTCAGAGGTGAGAAACAAACAGTCTGGATATTGAACAGTTCATCATTCAACATTGAATGATTTCATTCAGAGCCAAACAAACAACCCCTTAAAGTTATAACATCAATATTAATCAATGCTTTGCAAATGAATTTACGGTTGATTCTTTTTATGGTTAATAAATTATTGTGTTTGACAAAGTCATCCCAACAATGGTTGGCACAAGTGGTTGAGATTCAGGAATTCGAGCATTGTAAGGCCAAATTCGAATTTCACCACCGTCACTCTTGGTGGACAATCTATGATGTCCTATGTAAATCCCAATTGGATTTTAAGTATGCCCTGACCCTGATTGGGGAGCCACCCCTAACCTAAACTAAAATTTTGTGTACAAAAAAGGTTATTCACAATAATATTTTTCATGAAATTTATTAAAAATTAATTAAAAAATCATTTTAATTTTTGATGTTTTAATATTTCAATTTCTTTTTACAGTCATTTAATGAGATTAACTTTTAGATATATTTATTTATCTTTTTAGGAGAATGCTTCTTATCATTTATATTTTCAAACAGTCAAAGTCGTTAAACTCTTCAAGATGATAAATTTTTTATGTTTAATTTTGTGAGTTTTAAAAAGATTTTGAGAAAATAAAAACTGATAAAATGGTATAAGACAATAAGACAAGTTAGTCGATGTCTAAAATGCATAAAATACAAAAATAATTATTTCCGAAGACTAAAAAAAAAAAAAAAATCATAACTTTATTTAACAGATGATGTGAAATAAAAAAATTATTTTTAACTTTCACGTTAATATCAAATTGTCACGTCATTGGACTGTTAGTAATTTAATGATTTAATGCTTGAATTGAACTCAAAATTCAAGTTTAGTGTTAAAATTAAATAATAAAATTGGTACAAACCTTGAAATCCAACAACATTTAGGATAGTTTACCCGAAAAAAGAGTAAAGCAAAAAAGTAAGCATTTTTCTATAGGGCTGAGCTTACCATTCATTGGGCTTTGAAAACCATATTAATTGTTTTGAGAATGGTCGCTTGAACTAATTCCTCCGATAACTGATTTATCCGTGTTTTTGTTCATATCATAAAAGTATTAAAGTAACTTTGGATGTATTAATAATTTATACTTAATAATTCTTTTATTTTATATAAAATGATATGTTTTTGTAAGTCCAAGTTAATGATGATTAATCTGAATAATGTATGAATTTATTTGCAGAAGAAAGTAATCCATAAATAAAACAAATGAATAATTTACTTTAAAAACAAATGTTTTTCATTAAAACAAAATCCTTTCAGCTTTCATCTCTTTTAAAGATCAGACATTTTCAGGCTGAGAAAATAAAAGGAAAATATGTAAAGAGAAGAAAACCAACCCATTTTATTTTCAGCCATAAGAGTGGGAATCTTCTTCCAATTTACTTATCCGATGCCTTTATTGTTTTAGCAATTTCAAGCTCACATCAACCAATAGGAGAATGATTGCCAGAAAGGAATATTTTGACCTTAGCCTAATAAATGGTATATCTCCTCACCATTCTAGATGACAAAGAATCATCATTCTATTTATTTTTGTCGATTTGGGAATGAACTTGTCATATGTATAGGCCAGCAAGCTTTTATTTCATCAACCATTTACAAAAGGGACAAGTATCGTCATTGCCAGAGCAGACCATAAAATATTACATAGATTTCTTGCTACTTTTATGTCATCATGGGCATAACTTTTTTTTAATCATAATACAGATACAAGAAATCATTAAGAAAAAAAAGTAATGGACAATGTTTCCTAAACCCATCATCAACCTAAGATTTTTTCGTCAACATCACATTGGCTACTAGCTATCATAGTAGAATTAAGATAGACAACGCTGCTCTCCGGTAATGGCTGCTGCTGGGACCAGTGGGTGTGAGCATTTAGGACCCTGTCCAAGAGTTCTTGGGGCACCGGCTCTCCCCGCCTTTGCTGCGGGGATATCCTTACCGTGTGCAGTAGTGTTTTCCACTTATCCTGCATGAGCCCAATAAATAACATCACAAACACATGAAAATACTTTTGATCTACCTACCAAGATGACTCTACGAAACAACTCATGCTGTTTATTTCCCTTTTCCTACTGAAAGACCAAAAGCAGCAGAAAGTTCCAACAAGCCAATAGCCATGTTATAAATATACAATTGTATTAAGGTAAAACCAAAAGAAATAAATTTGCATTAGGTCACTTTGGAGAAGGGATAAATCATATATATATATATATATATATATATGTTATAGCGAGAAATCATGCAATATTAAGATCTCTTGTAGTGTAGTTATCTTACAGATAAAGATCAAAATTGATAAAAACTTGTAAAAACCATTAATCATTAACCTGTTGTTGTATAAGCAACTACGAGCCCTGGTGGTGGTCCGAACTGTAAACTAGACCTTTTGTATATCAAACAAAAGATTTAAACAAAGAACCTTTGGAAACCAACAAATGATCCTACATAAGGCATGAAAATATGATAACCAGAAATGAATGACAAGCAGATTCATCAGCATTCAGCAGGTCAAGAGATTAGCCAAATAAGGACAAACAGCTTTGCAGTGGTTTTATGAAAGTAAGTCCTTACCTTCAAATCAACATAAGTGCGATGCTTCGCGTTATCAAAAGCTCTTAATTTAACATCACGCCACCTGCATATTGATAAAGCCATTAAACCCATGAAAATATGTCTAACCACATAAATAAGCCCACAGTTTCTAAGTTATATCCAGGACACTCCTGCAAGTAAAGTAATGAACAAGTAGGTAAAAAAAAAGGCATTTGAAGTATCTTCTGGGTTCTGATTACATACTTTTCTTTGGAGCAAGAATTCACGCAAAATTCTGATTGGGTATCATGATGAATCGATAGAAATTAACAAAGATGCAAATTTCAAATACTCAGATAGTGTTCAACTGCTATTCATCGTTTCTTCGTTAGGTTCAAGCATACCTTCCGGTTCCAAGTTTCTCAACAGCTTGAACCAGGGCTTCAACTTCAGAAATAGAGAAAGGTCGACGAATTCTTCGCTGTGCAACAACAGATTGCTTGGATTTCTGATGAGCTGGATCCACAGCTAATGTCTCCATGCTCATTGCAGGTACAACTACCAATTCTTTAGATTCAGTTGTGCTTTTGTCAAACATGTCAGTAGGTGAGGATACAAAATTATTATAGTTTTCAATAAAGTTGGTTGAATTAGGCATGCGAGGCTCGGGTGAGGGATCGCAAGTAACCCGATTAACTAAACCAGGATTTGCCGGATTCCTGGCAAAAAAAAACAGTATTAAATCATAAACTGAATCTGGACAGTAACCAAATAACTCTTGTTTGATCTGATGATTAAGAGTATTTGTGAGAGATGAATAAGAATCTTGAATTAAACAATGTCAGCCACCTCTTCAAGGCTAACAACTCTTGAATGAGAATACTATTATCAGACAAACAGTCGGCCTCCTCTTCAAGGAAGCAGGTAGATCCTAGAAGATCAAGATTCTGATAGTTGCCAGTAATTGCAACATTATCCTTATTTCCAAAAATAAAAAGAAACCACTTAGTTTAAAAAAAGAATCTTCTTTTCTATGTGTTTAGCTCTAGAAAACAACAAAATGAGACCATACTGCTAAAACTATTTTGATTACCTAGCTAGAAGTAGTGGAGTGTCATGGCGAAGTTTTAAGGGAGAACCTCCAGGGGATAACAAAGGGGAAGTATGAGAGGAGTTAGGCTCCAGACTAAAACCCAGAACATCCATCTGATTATCACAAGAAATTCCTGTCTGCAGCAGAGTTTTATTGTCATCCCTAACCTTCTTTCCTTGAAGAAGTACACCAACACACAATCCATCTCCAAGTATCGCTGTCACTGCCTCCATTACAGTCCTCTACAGATCAATTTCACATCATTAGAGGGAATGTAATGACCAAGCAAGCCGGTAGATGAGACCAGACAGTGGAATTACAATTTATGAAAGATACTGCCCAAGCATCCATAGCGGGTTGAAATAAGATGGTGCTCTAAGAAGGAAATACAAATGCTGATAATGACACTAATAGAACAGACATAATTCTTCAAGGTCCAAATGTACCCAAGAAAAATCCAAGAAATATCTCTAAGCAATCTGCTATCAAATTACGGAACAGCAGTCAAACGTTCTACCACAATTATCAGAATCATAGATCATTATACCTTCAATGAACCAACAGTTGCAGACTCTGGAATTTCAATAAAGAATTCTGGCACCCTGAAAGATTTGATCCTGAGCTTCACTGAGTAAAGGGAAAGACATCTTGATGTAAGAACCTCTTTCAATGTCAAACACCAATCAAGTGAAAAGAATTACATATGAACCACTCCATCAATGGCTCTCATACCGTTGGAATCCCTAGAGTTGAATGATTTGTGTTGGTCTGCTAGTGAAGATGATTCTTTGGTGACTGCAAAAGGTTTAGAACCAATAAGCAAAATGCTTATGTTAGCAATAAACACCAAGAAACGGAACTAATAGTTAGAGATGAAAAGTCTTTAAGTCACCTCCATGCATATTTGAATATAGAATGGAAGCCTTTTTGGTGTTGTTCTTCTCAGGTGAATCAGAAATGCCTTCACTGCCGGTTCCTCCATCCGAATTCAACTCTGAGCTACAGTAAAGAAACTTCCGCTTCTTGAAAGGATAGTTCCTTCCAGCTCTTAAGCGCTTATAACCACTCCTATTGCGGTAACCAGACTTCAAGTTCTTATCTGGAAAATCAAGATATCCATTTAATTAAAAGTTACACACTTGTAAATATCCTACAAATGGTACCATATGATATACCCAAAATTCTGATGATATTGATTACAAGAAGCCACATACCATAATTGGAATATATCACATTCTTCGACCTCGGAGATACCTTCCAGTATTTAGAAGCTAGAATCTTCCTTATTCTTCGGTCTACAATATGAGGGGTTGACCTAAATGGTTCTCTTAGGGGACTAGATTTTTCATCATCATCTCTACTAACTACATTTACATCATCCCATTTTCTGGGAAAAGGAACAAGGGGATTGTGGTCCCCATATGAACACGCCTGAATACTAGTGTCTGAACTAACTAGAGCAGAGGGTTTAACATCCAAGACCAGTGCATCCTCTAAGGGACACTTATCAGTCACTTCTCCAATCGAAGCCTTATCAGTTCTGTACAGTTCCTCATCCGTCGACACTTTATTTTCAGACGCGGGTTTAATACAATCACCAGATGTTCCACACAATGAGGGACCTGTCTCTACATTACAAGCCAAACCTCCCATTTCATTCTTGATTTTTCCATTCATCAACTTCTGAGCATCAAATCTTTCTAAGCAATCAGAAGTTGCCATGAGGGCACCGTTTCGAAGACTAGGGGATTCATTAGAACTATTGTTTGGATCACTAGTTTGCGGAACAAGTTCAGAAACAAAGAATTCAGCAATAGAGCTGTCTTGATTGGAAGTTTCTAGCTTCAATGACTGATTTCCATCCCCCCTTTCCTCTTTCACGGTATTTGTTTCAATTTCTAACTGATCTTCAGCTTCAGCACTCCATGAATTATTTGAAGCAGGAGCACTTTCTTTATCTAGCAATAACTTTCCAGCTACAGTGGCAAGCAAATCAAATGCACTTATCTGGTTGCCTTCAACTTTCTTTATAAATGGAACTCTTTTCTAAAAAAAAGGAGTAACAGTAGTGATTTAAAATGGATCAGAATATCAAGTAAATATGAAATACTACACTATCATGCTTAAATATTTTACCCTGGGTGATCTGGTTGCTCTAGGAATAGCAGGCACCTGATAGCCACTGAATCCATAGTCCAACCTCTTCTGCAACACCATGTCTCAATAATTGCATCACATCGAACACATCATATGCAACTCACAGCATTCTTGAATCAATTTCCAAGAGACTGAATATATAAGAAATAAAATCAATCAATGTCTCTAGACTAAACTTAGACCCTGATACGAGATGAATGTAAGAGTTAATCTATATGACTTATGTAATTAAATTAACAAAAAAAACTACTACCATTTTAGAAATAAGTAAATAAACATAATAAAGACATAGCAAAATTTCATGTCACGCCGAATTTTCCCCTCCAACTATTAAGAAGTTAACTTAAAAAAGCTGCACATAATCTGATCGCAAATGGAAAATCCATACATCAAACTTTCAGATGCATAAAACCATGAAGTTCTTTTTCTTTTTTCCATTTTCCAAATTCTCTGTTCAAAACATCAAAAAATTTGCAAATTCAAAAGAGAGCTGGAGAGAAAGTAAAGAGAAATGAGCAAATTCCAGTTAGAAAGGAAACCTCGTTAACCACAACAAAACCCTGACACAGAGAATTAAAAACCAAATAACCAACTCAGATGTCAACCCCGGAAATTCGTTGTAATTTAGATAAAATTTGCTTTTAAGATCTAAAACCCTGGAGATTTGATCTATCTTGTTAAAAAAAACTGTTAAAAAAGAATCTTCGATCATCTCCTCAGCTTTTCCCATAAATTGTAAACAAAAAATCCAGATCAAATGTCTTATTACCCAAATTCGTCGAAAAAAAGAAGAATTTGACGTTAGAAGGTGATAAATTTTAAGAATATTCAAAAGAAAACTGAAAACAGAAGAGAAAAGAACGGGCATTTGATTGCTTAAAAGTTGTGAGCTTAAAATATTAAAACTCCGGGATAATTTAAAAACTTTGTCCTCGAATTACCACCGAAATCAAATTTTTCCTTCCCCTTTCTCACCGTTTCTAGGTAACCAAACACAAGAGACCAAAAACTATCGGGGAAAGGAAGATCAGAGAAAAAAATCTCACCTCTAAACTATGAACTTTTCGCTCAAAAAATGAAATTCGCAACCAAACGTAAGATCGCAGGAGTAAAAAATGAAAATTCTCTTCCCGGACGGGGAAAAAGAAAGAAAAAAGAACAATACTTCTATTATCTACCCCATTTTTCCTCCAGAAGACGAAAGGGAAATCTTCTCTGTGTTTTTTTCAACAAAAGCCATTCGGGATTTTCCCTGAAAATTGACAATTAATTTTTCTCACCAAAAAATAAAATGATTTGTTTTCTTTTTCCTTTTCTCGCTCTGATCGCCAAAACCCTCTGAAAACCATCCAATTTTTGCTTAAACCCCAGGCATTATACCATTGAGCCCTGGTTACCGGACCTATCGGTAGTCGCCATAATTCTCACCGGTTATGACCGGTAGGAAGGAACCATCTAAAGAACCGACTCTTCCTTATCGGACGACCCACCGGTGTTTTCGTTCCTCTCGGATTTTGACACGTGGAGAAAACTTAAGGTCAGCGGCTATATACACGGTAGAGAAAACCGGGGGGTGACAAAGAGTGATTTATTTATATTTATACTTAGGATTTGGTTTTAATAATTGAAGTTTGGTAAGCTAGTGACATGTCCACTCAGATTATTTTAAGTAAAGAGTTAATATGTTATAATTTGTAAATTATTATTCAAATTTTGAAAACTTTTGGCTCAAACTTACTTCACAACATAAATTCTTACATTAAATTTTCTAACTATATTTACAAGGCAAATATTCATACCAGTTTAAAATAGATAAGCAATATCTGTAAGTACTGGAAAAAAGGAAAAATATATTTAGGAGAATATTCCTTTTTACCGTTTACAGATTCTAAGACGATGAAGCAGCTAATTATCACGTGGGCAATAGATCTAAACCATATGTTTCTATTTTATTTATTTACTTACTCTTTGTAATGATTTCTTAAATATATATATATATATTAATCTGTTAATTTAAGTGTAAGATTTATATCTTAAACTTATGTAATTAAAATTAATAAAAATATATATTAAATATATTTCTATTTATTCGGCTTTTTAGAAGAAATTTGTAAACCATATTTTTTTAAAACGAAAAACATGAGTGCCACGTAGAAAAAACACACTAATCCTACGTGGGAAAAGGAAGGCAACCATTGGTCGCTTTTTGGTCCGTGTTATCCACAACGTTGTGGCTGGGTTTTTTTTTTTTAAGAATAATAATAATTGTTTTTTGAAATCGAAATGGCGCAAGGGACTTCAGACGGTGAAATAGGATTTCCCGTCAATTCTAAACGTTGCCGAGACGTGGAAAACGTCCGTTAAATACGAGGATAAGGGATGGGGATTCGTGGCGGGTCCTATACCGCCGGCGGATCCCACATAAATATTTTTGTCGTGAATAGCGAAAAAAATAATTTTGGTGCAAGACAAACAATTAATTAGGAAATGTCAATTAAATTAAAAAAGCATTCTTTTTTACTTTCATTGAGCTATAAAACAAAATTTATGGTAGGTGTAACAAACTAATCTAAGGATCTTTATCTTTTGTTTCTTTACATTAATGGATGCCTTTAGATAAATTTAATATTTTATAAATGAGTTTTATAATTAATTTAATGAATGTTAATATATTAACAAATAATACTATATAATAAAATAGTTTCGTCATAAGATGAATATTGATGGCATCTTCATTATAAAAAAAATGGTATATAAAGGGTGTGAGAGTAAATGTAGTAGAGAGAATAGTTTAATCTTATGTGAAGAGGAATTGTTTTAGTTTCATTTATCCAACAAACAGGGGAGCGAAGGCAGTAGTCATTTGAACATTGTTCTCACCGAGGCCATATGAGGGATTTTGGACCATGACATTATTTTAGTTATAAATCACATGATTAAAATAATTTTAAATTATAACCATCCATTATTCATGTGACAGTGCCATGACTAAATTTGTTTATATAACAATATATATTTTTACACACACAAAAAGAAAATCATTGAGTTCCACTTAGACCGCCAGCTACAGCTCATATTCTTAAGCACAAGAAGGACCAGCCATGCAGAGCATTTGCATGTGCATGTCCAGTTTATTGGGTGGATCTGTTGCTTAAAATATTATAATATATTACTTTTCAATTTCGATTTTATTTATTATTTTCTCTTTCGTGATATATTTGCAGGGTTCATAATTTTATTTATTGAGTTCCACTTGAGATTTGTTTGTATTATGAGGTGGGTCGTTTCGAATGCGGCAACAGAGAATGGTACGATGAATCTTTGGTGGCTGTCCGGAAAAGCTCGCGTGGTTGGAGTTGGCATCTGTTTTTGACGATGGACTCTGGTTCGGGGAGAGAAGATACACGCTTTCACTCTGTTCCTGTTGCTTTTTGTTTACTTTACTCGGCTTTTGTCCCGTTCTTGTTTAGGTATCACTCTTCTTTTATTTAGTTTGCTGTAAAAACAGTAGAAGCTGAATAAATGTGGATCATAATCCAGTTCTAGTCCAACTTTAATTTTATTTGGAAATAAATAAAAAGTCGAAAACCAATGTGTTTTATTAAGCTGACTTTTCTTAGTGCAGGCTCTCTTATGGCTACTTTTTTGTCCACCATAAACTTCTTCCTTTAGCTCAGTTGCTGGACTTCGTCGAGAAAAATAAAATAAAAAAATGCTTTGCTTTTTGAATAATCTTTTAGTAATTAATTAACCAAAACTAATTACAAGTCTCCAATTTTCCAACCGCATTTAGTTATTGTGTTCATCTATTGTAAAAGGGAATTTAACTTCACTCATTTAGAAAGTAAAAGCAATGTAATTTGAGATCGTGTAAGAAAAAAATGGAAAAGATCTTAGGATCAAATTGTGAAGTTCAAAATATTTTCTGATGAAGTAAATTTAAGATTTGTGCTCAAGAGATTAAAAAATGGTGAACTAAAATTTGTAAGATCCAACTACCGGCGATGGTGATGAGTGACAACAACATGCATGGAATTTTGATTAGATTCTTAGGTTGATAAACTTTTTAGGGTTTGTTTTTCTTCTAAAATAAAAATAAAAATGAATGAATAATATTTATAAAAACTAAACATTATTTTTTCTATCAAAATAATAAATATTAAAATAACATAATTAAAAATTCAATAATCAAATTAAGATGGGACGAAAATAAAAGTGGCATCCGTCACAATTTAACTATTGTTTTTTACTTGGGACCTTATTATACTAAAATATTAGTAAAAGGCTTTAAAAATGCTTTTGTTGTTCAGTTGAAATGGAGTGTGTTGAATGACAACTTTATAGAAGAAAAGCCGCGTAAATATAGTTTTAATTCAAAGAGAGGGTTGAAGGAATCTTGGCATTTCTTGACGTAAAAGCAATGAGCAAAGCTGAATGAAAATGGTGTGATTGGATCACAAATCTTGTTTTGCAGCTTTTTCTCTTCCATTGCACCTTTCACCAATACATAAACGGAATCTTCATCAAAACATATAAATGTTAAGTTTGTTAATAGTTTTTTAAAAGGATCCAAATTAATTTGGTTAATCACTCTAAAAAAGACGGATCTCAAATTACAATCTCACAACAAGCAAGAAAAAAACTCTTGGGATCTTGAACAAAAACTTTCTTCTCAAAACAGGCAAGAAAAAGAAAGCAAATCGCCAGAATTCTAAGCAATTTGGGAATTTACGACACAATGGGTTTACTTCTCATCTTGAACCTATTACCAAATAAAAGGGGGGAAAATAGAGAAAAAACCCCACTTTTTTTATATAAGGCAGCGGCCCCCGATTATATTTTCTGATTTAATTATTTCATAGGTCTCCACTAATTTTAAAACTAGTGAAGCTTTGACTCCCCATTTTTTGTGTTAATCTTAAAGAATAGTATGCGTGCGTGTGTATATAGATAGTATTTTGATGGAACAGAGGGTATATAGATAGATATACATATTCCAGATTGTCGAATGATTTGGGTGTAATGTCGGGTTTAAAGGGCATTGTTGAATTCAAATGATTTTGCCTGAGCAGATAAATGCAATGGAACAACAAGCTAATTGTGTATATCGATCGGATCTCCTCATCATGGTACAAGATTCACAAACATATTCAAAGTTATTACTATACTAGCATCTCTCTCCAGACTTGTGTTTATAATCAAATATTTGATAATGACAAATTACAGCATGCAATTTCTTTATAACTATGTAGAAGCCAAGTGACTAAAGTTGCTGTATAATCATGTCATTACTAAAGTAAACAACACAATACCAGCGACCGGAACCGTAAACACTTCAAAATGCCATACGGTATAAGTATCACTTGATAGTAAATATATACAGATATGTAAATCAGCAAGGTTGCTATGAAATTTTGGATAACAGTTACCACCTAGGAAAGTATAACTCAACAAAAGGGCATATCCTTTCCATCCATCTATTCTGACTGATGCCACTCAGGGGCTTATGATGGGATTACGGTATGGGGAACAACCAACGCACACATGCCGAAAACATATTCCTTCTAATATGACACCAAAATGTTACTAACTGCAAAGTTTAAATTGTATATATTAAAACACCAATACCTATTCGGTCGACAAGTTAACATACTGCCATGGGTTGAACTCAATCGAAGCAATGTCAGCCTCGTCAATGCTGTCTGAACTATCTACAGTAGCCCGATGCTCAGTGTATTTGCCATTGTAGAGATAGATTTCCAAGTCACCCCAAGGTGTGGCTGATACCTCATCTGTCAAATTAAACCATCTAGGGTTAAACTGATGGCCCTTGGCATCCCGTGTCCTCTTTTCTGCTCTCTGTCGCTCTTCCAACCTGAAAAAAATTATCAAAAGGTGCAAATTAATCATAGGAGGCAAGTAATTATGTAATTTATTAATCTTTAGCATCTCCTTTTAATTTAACCATACAAGAAAAAATAATTGAAGTGGCAGAAGGGGAAATAAAGAATAAACTTCATTATCTTCCACTGAATTCTCTATCTTCATTTCTTCTGATCAAGATACAAACAAAGCAACCCCCTATTGAAGAGCCACCACTATACTTTGTTTGCTTTGAACATTTGTGAATGGTCAATCAAGATGGAGGGTTCATCTTTGAAAATTCTAAAAATTACAACACTAGTGGAAGTTTATGCATCTGTTGATCAAGGTATCAACATCAAAACTATAGCTGCAAGTATTTTTGCATGACCATAGCAAGCAGGTTTGTGTTCTAAATGGCATTGGCAAGGTGAGATTAAATAAGGATAGTGCATGGTTAGAATTTAAGACCTAGTTTACTGTATTCATTATACCATGCAAGAGGGAAACATGTCATAATTGCTACAGATTCTTCCATTGCATTTCAAATGTTGACAGCTTCACTTTAAACATTTTGGATGCATGAAAAAACTTTAGAGCAAGTTTTATTGTTACGTGTGAGTGAGAAAGGGGGGGGGGGGAGGGGGAGACCTGCTCTTCTCAGCACCAGCCTTGGATAAATCACCCTTCTCAAGTGCAAATCTATCAGGCCGCAGACGAGAGTCTGATGCTAACAATTTTTTAGGGGCAGTGTCAAAGCTGTTTATTTTATGTGCAAAATATGTAAACTGAAATTTGTCGTTTTCCGGAGTATCAGCAACATGCCAAACCTGCAGGCCAAAAGCAATAAAGAAGTCACAAATGCGATTAGTCTTGTTGATGAGATGAAATGAAAGGTAAAATTATCAGAAAACCACATAAACAGAAGGGCTGCATTTGCACATATAACATTTAGGTTAGGAAGACTCGAAGGCTTTGACAAAACAAAATGACTACTGCAAAATATTTAAACATCAAATGCATCAAGAAATATTTCAAGGATAGATTCAATTTAAGATGGCTAGCCACCACCATAGATATACATTCTGAGGAAAACTAAAACCTGAAGCCATAATTCATAAGCAGCTAGGAGTAAGAAAAAGATGCATCAACTTAACATTATAAAGAATAGGTAAATAAAGCATATGGTTACTATTGTATAGTGAGGAAAAATGTTATAAGAAAGAACCTCTTTCAATTCTGTGCCCTGAAGGGGTTCCCCTTCCATATCACATGGCTGATAGCTCATTGACTCATTCCACTTCCCTGTCATCAATATTTTTGGTTCCTCAGCAGCATTATAAACATAACCATCCACTTCATAACGACCAGCTCTGCAATGAAATAATGCCATAAATCAATCTCCAATTCAACACTCATCACTAGCCAGATGCAGCTGATGTAAAGTGGAGCATAATAGCATATTAGAAACACAGACAATCATGGAAACAAATGTAGGGAGAAATCAACCGATCAAATTACATAAAACGTATGTATCTGATCGTTATGAATTGCACAAATTAATTAATATAGAGTGTGCTTCTGCATAACAGAGCCGCATCAGAGTCAGACAGAAGAATAGATTACATGGGAGCACAACGTGATGCAAGTCAAACATTCAAATCAAATTTCATCTCAGAGCACCCACTAAAAAGAACCCACATATGAATGACAAAAAATATAACATACTAAGGTATACAGCATTTGAATGACAAATAAAGCAAATGCTTGAATTGTCTAAAAAATAATATTAAGTTACGGAGAATACCCAAACCAGCCACATGGTTGAAAATATAACACAACTTTGTCCCCAGTAGTCAAATTTGTCATGATCATCTCTCCTGGGGAATCAACCCAAGTTCGTCCAAAAATCAGATTGTTAACCTTGGTCGGGGGAGGCACCAAATCTAAAACCACCCCATCTCTTTTAAGAGTAACACGTGTTCTGCAAAGAATAACCTACATGAGTAATACCTTCCAACGGATATTATTATATTAACCATAACTATACCAGAGAAAGAAGAAGGCATAAGGGGAAAGATAGTTTACAGAAAATAGCACTAATATTACCTTCCAACAGGATAAACATCAAGAGAATTCCCCAAAAATTTTGTCTTTAACTTTGATGTGACATCATAAGTAAAATGTTCATTTTCAGCGTGCCCAGCACTCATTGGAGGATGATGACTGACCTGATATGATAACACAACTAACCTTTGGATGAGCTCAAATTGATAAAACTAAACGTACGTGACACAATGTTGCTTTCAGAACATGAAAGAGAATGGAAAGGAAGGCATAGTATGTTCAGATATATAAAATTGAAATAAAGCATGCTGAAAGTCACCTGTTCAGAAATGAATGTTATCCCTCCATGGTTAACCATCTCATATGTTTCCCCAATAATAGGATTAAAAGGCTTCCATGTACGTTGGTAGGCATAGTACACAGATATAGCCCATGATGCTGTACAGGATTATGAATCTCATTAATTACAAACTAGAGCTTGCCTCATTAATTAATTAATAAAATTAACGAAGCATACTCACATGCATATACCAGTCGGAGATAGGGATCCTCAAATTCGTCTGCTTGGTCCAACAAGCAGGAGTATTCCATCAACTGCAAAAGGCATAGCACATCACATATTGGAAAAGAAAAATGCTGCATAGAAATTAACAAATCTCTGCAAAGTAAAACATACCTCTGCCATTTTCTGAAGCATAGTCATTGGTTCAAATAGGAGGACAGGAAGTGTCACCATGGACGTAACATCTGAACCTATATATTTGTGCATCATTCTCCAGTAGCTCTCTCGCTCCTAACAATAATAATAAAACATCAGCTTCTAATCTATAACTAGTGAAATTAAAGAATGCCTAACTTCATCTCCGTGTCCCAAAAGAAAGAAAAAGTTACAAATACAAAGAACTATTTCTTTCCATCTCCAAATATTAATTTTCAAAAAAAAAACCTCAGTTTAATACTAAAATAAACATTGGCAAGAAAGAAAGTAACTCAACCATAGCTAAAAATTCCCACGGATAGAGAGAGCAAAGAAAGAATAAGAGCATCTGTACACTTGGTCTATAAAAGAGAGATCTAAAAACATGGTTATAAAGATGCATACCTCCTGCTTCCATCTTCCTCTCTGAGCTTCCTCCTCCGCATCTTCTTTTCCTCCTTCTGGATTTATAACTTCCACTCCCTCATAACTGAGTAACCTGAAAAACATAGTAAAAGAAAAACATATAATGCCTCCTTTATAACAGGAAAATGATGGTAACTAAAAAGTGAAGGAATCAAATCGTATATATGAATTATCCCTATAATTCAAAATGACAAGTGGCAAGCAAATTCAATGTGCAAGGAATTTCTAAACTTACGAAATAATCCAAACCAATAATCTGATCACCTTTCTCAAGAAGTGCATAAAAACATGCTTTATGATTAATCTCTAATATGAATAATGGAGTTTGCAAATACAAGAGGTAGTAAATTACTAACTAAAACTTCTACAACTAGCATACAAGATTTATTCAATCAACAGTCTTTAACAGCCAAGATAAAGTTATTGATTTGTGACAACTATAGTGATATTCTGACAATTTGCCCAAAAACCATCCAAGTTGTATGAGCAGTTACCAACCAACCAGAAATTCCATTAACAACAATTTAGCGGCCAATTTGAAAAGCTACCGCAAGAAAGGAACGGAGTGGGGTGATAAAAAGCAAGACACAGATTGAGTTTCCACATAAAGCAGGACGCCAGGAAAAGTAGGTTAAAAATTAAATAAATAAATAACCTGCAAAATACACCATTTACAGACAATTTCAGAAAAAAGAAACCTGAAATAACTAGATTTCCCCCACAGAAGCAACTAACCTATCTATAAAGTAACAGGATGAAACTGGGAAATCAATGCCCTCAAGTTGATAGTAGTAAGTAGATGTTATTGACATTTACTCTTGTTTGAAAATGAAATGACTACATAACTGGATTGATTTCCCTAGAGAAAAAGTAGAATTGAACCGAACAACATTGTCTAAAACAAGTAGATTTTAACAACCATTGAATTGCATTATTACGTTACATTTCATCTATTTTTTTGCCTTTCTTTCTCAGAAAGGAAAGTGTAAAAGAGGAATCTTAAACATGCAGTCTTAATTTGAAATTTTATGCTTTCAAATGAACTAAAATATCAAATTAATTGCCAACCCCTCCCCCCGCACAGTTTTTTCCGCTTTGTCAACCTAAAATTAACAGCTAACTATTTCCAGACGAACAACAATATATTGGTTAGAAACCGATGTACATTCCAATAAAATAATTAACCAATTAAAAAAATGTAAAGTCAGTTAAACTAACAAATGATGGAACAAATTTAGAAAATTTTAAAAAAAGAATCGTATTATTGCAACCGTCGGTTATCTGTTCTGAAAATTCGAATTTGGAATTTACCCATTGACAGTTCTGTGCATGGCGTTTCCAAACAGAGATAAACCCGATGTCATCGCTGCGAAAAACCCTTTATTCTGATCCTTCTTTGGACTTCCCATCTCTTTAAATTCCTTTCTAAAATATGTTCATAAATTAAACTTAAAAGCCCAATTGAATTTTGTTTATTCAGTGAATCGAAGCAGAGGGACGAAAATAGAAAAGGGAATTCAGGATATAGGGATTTGAGAAAATATTTGGGAGTGAAGAAGAAGAGGAGGATAGGATCTGTAATTTTAGTAAAGCATGGATGATAAGAGACGGAATTCAAAATATTTTTAGTAAACATTATTATTTATAATTATTTTTTTGATAGGGATGTTAGTAAAATCTCTCGCTCGCTCTTCGTGAAGATTGTGGGGAATCTGAGAAATATATTTGAATTTTGGTCAAAGACAAAACTACGGACTTCGGCGTTTGTACTTCACTTCCTGAATGGGTAGACCGTACACATCTAGAAACGTGGGCCGGACTTGGCCCATCTAAATCCTCGATATGACTTTTCTTCAATTATTTAATGTATTGTTAGTTTGTTACTGAATTTTTTATATATAAAATTAATATTATAATAATTTAATTTTTTTTAAAATATAGGATATAATTTAAAATTATATTTTTCTCTTGAATAAAATACTTTTCTTTAAATTTATTTGATAAAATATAATAAATATATAAATAATTATTTTTATAACAAAAAAATTATCCAATTTAATATATAATACAATTAGAATTTAATTTTAAAGATTTTATTTTTTAATTGATTCAATAAATAAGATATGGATAATTATATCACAAATTTATTTATTTATTTTTATAAAAGAATACATTTATTAATTCTCTATTTAAACATCTACACTAATTTAAAATGGATAATATAAAAAAATTATGTATTATATTTTAGTTGAAATAAATTTGATTTAATATTAATTTATATATATTTTTTAAATATTTTGGATTAAAATTTAATTTTGAATCTTTAATATAATTTTATTCTAATATATATAATTTAATATATAGGTTAGTTGCCTTAAAACAACTGAATCAGCAACCAATTTATGTCATAATTAAAAGTCAATCTACAATCAATCGCGATTATTGCAATTTTAAGCAAAACATTCAAAAATAATATCACTATTTAAGGCTTAATCCCACATAGTATTGGAAACACTATTGGGAATGGTATTTAAGGCTTGCTTTCCCACTTCCTTGTTGAGTGATAAAGAACAAGGGGGACTCTCGCGCGCCGCCGCCGTCCGTCTCGTCTCGTCTCGTCTCGTCTCGGGTCGTGGTCGTGGTCGTGGTCGTGGTAATACATGTCTTCGACACGTCCGCGCGAATACTATCTTTTTAGAGAAAATTCTTAAGAAACAAATGCAATACCGTCGTTGCGATTTTGGACTATCGCAACGAACTTGGAATAAATCGCAACGAGAACTTTGACTATCGCAACGAACTTGAAATAAATCGCAACGCGAACTTGGACTATCGCAATGCGAATATGTCAATCGCAATGCGATAGTCGAAGTTCGCGTTGCGAATCTGGAAACTGATTTGCGATACCGGAGATCGTGTTGCGAATTATCGATCGCATTGCGAATTATCGATCGCATTGCGATTTAGTTGGTCATTTTGACAAATTCAAAAAAATTTGATTAAAATCGTATATTATAAGGCATTTTTGGTCAATGATGTTATTTTCTCAATAAAATATTGTAAGAAATTTAGAAAGAACATAAAATAATCTTCCTCTTTCTTCTTCACGACGTCCCATCCACTGCCTTTAAGTCTTTAGATCGACCAATTCTCCACATCCGATACCTTATTTTTGGGTTGTTTATTCGGTTAATTCGGTGACCGACTGAACTGAATTATCATTATCTGAATTAATCGAATTTTGTTTAATCGTTAACTGAATTGAACTTTTTTCGAAAATATTAATCGAACCGAATAAATTTTGGTTAATTCGGTTAATTTTTGAATTAACTGAAATTTTTTAATTTATATAAAATTAAATATTTTTAATTAAAAAAACAGTTTTTAATTAATTTAAATAATATATAATTATAAAATAAAAATTTTATATAATTTTTTTAATTAATTAATATTGATTTAGGTTTAAAAGTCATTGAATCTTAAATTATTTATGGAGTTTTAAATAATTTGGGCTGAGCCCATATGTTATATATAATATATTTAATATTTTTTAATTTAAAAAAACAGTTTGTAATTAATTTAAATAATAAATAATTATAAAATAAAAATTTATATAAATTTTTTAATTAATATTGATTTAGATTTAAAAGTTATTGAATCTTAAATTATTAATTGAGTTTTAAATGGTTTGTGTTAAGCCCATATGTTATATATAATATATTTAAAATTTAATTTCGGTTAATTAATCGATTTCGAACTGAATTCTAAAAATTTTCTTAACCTTTAATCGACCAAACTAATTCGGTGACCGACTGAATTAACCAAACTAATTCGGTACCGACTGAATTAGCCGAACTAATTCAGTTTGATCGATTAACCGAATTAGTTCGAAAATCCTATCTAATTCAATTCTAACCTTAAATTAATAAAAAATTGAGTTCTTTTATACTGAATTCTTTGTTTTACTTATATTATATTTGTAACTTTTTATGAGGGAAAAAATGACTATGAAAGAAGCGAAATCAGGTAAATTGAATGCCCAGCAGCATCAACAACACGAAAACGGTCACTTCTCTCCGTTCCAATTCGTCAAGTTATTAGATCCAGAAGCTTCTTTGGACAAGGTTAATAATCTGCTTTTCTTTTTATTCGTTAATTTGTTGACTTTATTTGAAAGCTTTACTATTAATTAGAGTCAGATACACTAATGGTCAACTGCAATTACAGTCATTTGTAATTTAATTATGCTCTTAATTGTGCTTATTTAGTTCTGTAAGTAGTTTAATTTAACGGGTTTCTTTTTTTCCTGTTAAAGGGGGCGTTAATTGATTGGATTATCTTGAATGAACTTGAATTGGGTAAGCTGTGGAAAACAAAAATAATAAAGAGTTTTGGTTGATTGTTGAAGCAGGATCAATTAGGAGATGTATTGCATTGGATTCGACAAGTTGTAGCTCTTTTTTGTGGTTTATTATGGGGAGCAATCCCAGTGGCCGGAGGCATTTGGATCTTCATGTAAGTTCTCAGGTTCATGTTGCTTACATTAGTAAATTGCAATGCTTTCGGATTTGTATTAGATAGTTGAATCAGTCCCAAGTTTGGTGAGTCTCACTAGTTATGTAGATTCCTTGTTGTGATGGGAGGTAGGTATGCACTTAGTATGACCCTGCATATATCAGGAGCCTTGTGTGTTGGGCTTTTGGAATTTACACTGGTGCAATTGGCCGGAACTAGTGCTCTTGATTTATGGTGATTAGAGTTTGGCAAAATCTTAGATTGCCTGTGGATGAATCACTAATAAATCTTAGCATCGTCAAACCTATAATGTGTTTTATTAGATATCCGGAACAGCTAATCTCTATGATGGTGCAATTTGCTAACTGGATGGACCCTTTCACCTTTTGAGTTTCATTATTTATCTCTGCTGCGTCTACTTAATGCAGAATGTCCATATTCATGTGCATGCTCTTGGTTTTAATGTATATTTCCTCAGAGGTATTAACAATTTTGAATACAGTATCTGTCATCAATGCTTTGAAATTTGATAAGTTAAATACATGATATTTCCACTTGCATTTGTTGAGAATCAAATTTGCATGTCACCACTCACCATCCCATTTCGTTGAAATTTTGAAAGGATTATGGTGTTGTCTTCATGTGCCAACAATTTTTAAAATTACCATGCGAGTTTTTAGGTTTCTGCATTTCATGTCAAGGGGTTTATGCTGCCAGCTTCAGTTATCTTGAATGTCTTGATATCCACTTAGTGTTTGTTCAATAAGAAAATAATAGTAGTATTTGACCTTGGCAGTCATTGACCTGCCTTTTTTATATATAATTCTTATTATTTTCTGAACTTTGAGTTAAATATTTGTTGTTGTTTGCTTGCAGATTTCTGGCCATATCCACTGGTATTATATATGGTTATTATGCAATGATACTAAAGATCGACGAGGAAGAATTTGGTGGACATGCAACCCTTCTCCAAGAAGGGCTTTTTGCTTCAATAACTCTCTTTCTGGTACTATAATAACTTCTTGTTATTTCTTTCATGTTCAAATGCCAGCATTGCATAATATTTCCAGAAGGAGCTTTCGTATGTTTATAGCTAATTAAACCCTCTTTTTCCTATTCAGTTGGCGTGGATTCTCGTCTATAGCTTGGCCCACTTTTGATACGTATTTTATCTTCAATTTGGCGTCCTCTGTTTGTAAGTCACATTCCAAGGATTCAACTCTTTAGATGAGGAACAATTCATTATTCCGGAAAACAATGAGAAACTTTTAGATTTGATAAACAATGAAAAACTCTCTTACTTGAGAATTGCCTATAATTGCCTTTCACTTTTCACCGTGTGACATTCCGATTTCACAGAACATGAAGCTTATCTTTTTCCCCTTTATCATGTTATGTACATGTTTGATTAAAGTTTTACTTTCATGAAATATCCCACAGAATGTAGCAGTTTGGGGTACAAAGCATCTGATGTTAAATCAAAACTTTTTTCTTTGCTTCAAACTATCTGTTGCTGATAAACTCTTTAATAATGCATGAAACTTAGGTAAATGTGGATAATGTCCGAATTGCCCTATATTTTGTCAAACTTTTAATCAGAATTAAAGTGCTCTTCCCATTTCCCTCCAAACCCACCGTTGATTGAAGATTCTATTTATTTTCATAGTTGTTTGAGAAAGCTTGTATGAATCATTTGAGCTAGACTCCGAATTCAAACGATTTTACCTTGTAAGAGTTCCTCTTGGCCACTTTCCATGTACTTTACACATTAAACAAGCTTTAATGATAATGTAAATTTTCGTAACTCTAATCAATGGAAGGATAAAGACTTCTTGGACTCCATAGACCATAATTATCTCCAATAGGCACATAATCTAAATTGGTACTACTACAATTTACAATAATATAAACAAAATTACCCTTATGTTTCTTCCTCTAGTTTCATTTGCTATTCCTACTCGACATTCATCCTTCAAAAAAAAATTTAAGCAAAAGGGTAATTTGGATCAAAGTTATGGTCCATGTTGACCGTTTTTTCTGGAAAAGTAAATATCCCATTCATGTGGCCCAAGTTTCCCAAATGCAAAATACTTCCAAGACTCTTCTTCATCAAATTCATAATTCACTATTTTCCCCTCCTTCATTTGATTCCTCACTGTCTCAATTCTGTCAAGAACACCCTTAACTGTTAGATCAAATGCATCTTCAGTTTTCCTCAATCTTGAAGATGGATTTGCATATATCACCGATGGAATCATGTTTATGACTTCATCCCTCATAGTTGCTCTTCTTTCTCTAGAAACTCTTTGCAATATTCTTTCGATGTTGGCTTTCCCGGACTTTACGTCTCTTTCCGGTATAAACACAGAGTATTTACTGGAATCTTTGGGGAAATGCCATATATACTGAACGTAAGCTGAACCTGGATGGAAGAAAACTGGGATGCAACCAGCTACAATTGAATCAGATATCGATCTCCTGGTGTAAGAATCCCCTGAAGGTTGTAAGCAAAAGATGGAACTTTGAAATAATTTTAACAAGTATGCTGCCTTGTGGAACTTCTGTGTTTTATCATATTCCAGGAACTTGCATCTCCTTCTCGTAGCAAGACATTGATCAATGAGTTCATTGCGGAATGATTCATGGAAACCAGGTCTTCGTTGTTGGGAAATAAACGAGTACAAGTAATTTCCCTATAACCAGATTAGTGAGAATGCGAAATAAAAGCGGAAAAATAATACCCGAAATTGATAACGGAGTTCAGCCAATTTTACTTACGTCTTCGGACTGCTGTAGATCTTTTACTAAGAGAGAAAATTTACAGGTGTTTACAAAACACTCACTACTCACAAGAAAGCTCTCTAGTATTGGGAGAAAGAAAATGATTTTGGGATGATTTTGAAGCTAAATGGGTAAGGGTATTTATAGTTGAAACTTAGGGACTAATCTTGAAATTACCCTAAAATACAATGACTAATTGTATGATTTAACCATTACCATTTTCAACACAATTAGGTAGCCTACCATTTGAATTCAATTTTAACAGCCACCGACTGCCAATATTTTCAACAATCTCTCACTTGAAGACTGATTTTAATCTGTCTTCACACCTCGATCAATGCAGGAGGTTGAGGAGGTTGATGATTCATCCGATTCTCTTCTTCGAATTTCTTCGCTCAGTACCAGATCCCGAACATCGTCGAATTTTAATTTGTTGTTTCCCGACGAACTGCTGACTGCTGTAACAGTAGCATTCCAACTGTCTGGTAGAGATGATAAGAGAATTAAAGCTCAAACTTCATCATCGAATTCAATTTCCATTAAACTCAATTGGGTTGTGATTGCGTTGAGTTCATTTAGGTGTTGAGCCACTGACGCCCCTTCCGTCATCCGCAAATTGAATAATCGCCTCATCAAATGAACTTTGTTTGAGGTCGACTGTAACACCCCCAACCCGTACTCGACCCGGATACGAGTCGACGTGTCATATTGACTTTTCAAATCTTGACTCTTAAGAAAAATCCCGGGAAATTTAAAACTTTATTTAAAACAAAATACAGACTTGATCAGAGTGCTCGTACTTAATGACTTATTACATGCCAACACTTTATACATAACCAAATACATACTTTGTCAAATACTTCTGATCTGATCTTTTAGTAGTGATACTGTCTTTGCCACTTCTATTCTTTCACTTCTCGTTCTTGGTACCTACGTGTAAATCACTTACACGCTAAGTCATAGACTTAGTGAGGCATATAAAACATATAATATAACCATATATCATTTCATATAAATAAAAGACATACATATACAAACACTATCAATAATCCTTTCCACTTACCATATACTCATCATATAACACATATAATTCATTTATGTGCATTCATATCATTGAATCACTACATATCAATATGCATGAATATATGGTATGATAACAATATACAATCAGGTCATGCACACATGCAACTTACCTTCTTTTATCACTTTCACTTTCATTTGTCTTTCAATTTCATTGTCCATGTATATTATTGAAAATAGAGGCATGTGAGTACATTGAGGTTGTGCACTAATGCTGTCACCACAGCTCGTATAAATGTCCCGAAGGACCTATCCAGAGGTCATACAGACCCCGGTAACTATCCAGAGGTCATAAAGAACCTCGGCAACTGTCCATAGGTCCCAAAGAACCTAGGTAAACTGTCCATATGTTCCTTAGAACATAGGTATACTGTCCATATGTCTCGAAAGACATAGGTAAAACCCTCGACTCTTGGCATGCCAACTATACCTATAGCTCTCGTATCATATACTATGGGCATTTATTTATACATTTCGTATCACTTGTTCTTTCTCTTCTGTCACATACCACATGTATGTGTAACCATATATCTCATATCATATCACATGTATTATTATATATATATACATGTATTCATGTAAATCATTTCATGTAATTCATATCACATATATCACATGTGCATATAAGCTTATAGCTTCTTTCACATATACATGTAGTCACATAGCTTTCTTTCATGTAACCATGCATGTCATGTCAAATAACATATATCATATGTTGCATTTTCACTTAAGCATATAAATCATATAACATAGCATCCATCTATTTCTATGTATTAATGCATACATGGTAATCACATAACAATTTAGAAGTTACTTCTTACCATAGTAACTCCATCACTGGCTCATCACAAGCCAATGTTAATTCAATAAAATAAGTACAAAATAAATTGCACTCACCTTAGCTTTGCTTTAATTCGATTCTAATTCCTCAATTGTCCTGAAACGGATCACTTTCTATCTCTACATAACAATACACAGATTCATATCAATATTCCAATTGATATATTCTAAACTGTCACTTCTTAGGCTAAGAGAAAAGCCCATTTCCTCTTTCAATGAAGGTATGCATCGATGCACTACTTGTGCATCGGTGCATAAAATGCATTCGATGTTTTTATTTTAAAAGGATGCATCGATGTATTATCTATGCATCGATGCATCAAAGGCATTCGATGTTCTTCTTTTAAAGGAATGCATCGATGCACTTATGAATGTGCATCGATGCACCTTGTCCAGAAATTGCATTTCAAGCCCGAAATTCATCAATTCTTCATTCAATTCTTCTATTTTAATCCCCTATTATGACTTTAAACTCAACTATCATTATTGAAACCAACTTATGTCCATATAAATCATATTTATCTTCCATATTTCATCAAGATTCTTAAAATTAAGAATCTTACTAAACTTTCAAATTTGTTATAAATCTTTTCTAACTTCATAAATCTCTTATTCTTCTTGATGACAAGTCAAATTCCATCTTAAAAATCTCTTATTAACTCTTTTCCAAAATTTCCTTTAAAAACCCATTTTCTTTAATCTTTCATAACTTCTTTATCTTTCAATCTTAAGATAACCTAAGCTTTCCTTAAGCTTAGTTATTATCTAATGATCAAAACCCAACCATAAATTTAGCAAATAATCAACTAACAAAGAAACTCACCTTTGCAAGCTGGCTCTTCACGTTTGAGAGAAGATGAAGATGAAGAAGATAAGTCTAAAACTTATCTCTTCAATCATACCTCTCATATATTATAATACCCATTTATTAATATTTAATATTATCATTGTTCAATGACCATTTTGCCCTTCATCTACTTTAATAATTACTAACAACTTTTAGGAATTATTTACAAATAAATCATTGAATTATTCCATTCTTCTACTTAATTCATCAAATTCTTAAACTTTACAATTTAGCCACTAACCCCTAGTTTGGGATGTTACAATTCTCCCCTCCTTAAGAAAATTCGTCCTCGAATTTTCACTTTATAACAATATGAAGCAATCCTTATATGCAGTCCTCTTTAATTACTCAATACATATCTCTTTCACTCATGCTATAAATAATCTAACACCACTTATAACACTTATCCTACTTGATTCTTTAAACTCTATCATTCTCATATCTTTCTCTATTTATTCCTCATTATCAAGATTTCCTTATAGCATAACTAAACCATATATTTTCTCATGTTCTCATACGCTATTTAATCCACTCAAGTAACCACAAATCTTATATACCTGAACATTATACCTTAATGGGTTTATATCAATAAAACTACTACAATTAACTTATAACTAAAATTAGTACTTCTCTCATCAATTTACTGTTCAAATGTAATTATGCTAGCCTAAATCAACCAATATCATAACGTATTTACTATACAACCGAAAAATACCTGCTAATAATTCTGGGTCCTCACAGTCTTCATTATCATTAAGATTATATATTCTAGCAGTGGAGCGCATCTCCTGTTGAGTAGAAGATTCTGTTTGATTTCTTTCTCTACCTCTACCCCTACCTCTTTGAGACATCAAAACAGATCGTTCTGATTGTGCAAGCTCTCTGTCATTCAATGGACAATCTCTCATGAAATGTCCTATTTCCCCACATCGGAAACAAGCTCCAGATTTAATTC